GTGGAGCAGGGCTGAGGCGAGTGTCCATGGCAGCGGCTGTGGGAGGGGGCCTCTGGCCGCTCTGTCAAAAGGCTTCTTTCTTACAGTACCATGATTTGCCAAGTTAGTCACAGTTTGGTCTTGACATACAGAGATCCGGCACCTGACCCCTTCCTGTAGGATAACACTCTTTTGTCCTTCCTCAGGTAGCTTAGGTTTGTCAGGTCACACCCATCTAAGGACACTGAACTTGTAAGCAATGTCCTTTCTGTGTGGACACAGGAAGACAGTTAATATTATGCTTTGTAACTTGGGAGTTGATTGACTCCGAATCATATTTACTCCTGGGCATCTGATTTCTTGACTCAGTTGCCCTTAGTTCCTAGCACCCCAAAAGCAGGGTCCCGACGAGAGACTGAATGGACCCAGGGCAAGCAGTGAGCTACCCTGGCATCAAAATGGGCCAGGCCAAAAAGTCACAATACTCAACTATAAGTTGAGGGCATGATCATGGACACCTCCCCATGTCCCTGGGTCCCCTCCCATACCCCAGCCTGCCCTCTTGACGGGCACCTTTCTACATTTGCTTGTTAAAGTTCAGGTCTTCTGGTTTCAGAGTTCCCTCTGCGCTTCGGATGTGCACCTCTACATCCCTTAACACCACCGACATCCCAAGTCCCTTGGCCACTGCCCACATTGCTTCTCACGCCTCTCATCCCCCATGGTTCGCAGGTGCGAGGCTGGAGCTCCCACCGCCATGGAAATGAACAAATGAATACTCAGAACTTCCAGGACTCAGATCTCGTCCAGAGTGATCACCTCCAAGTCTTATTGTGGGGAAAGAGACATACGAGATAACCTTTCAGTAACTTTCAAACCATAATGCCCAAAAGGAAAGAGAGAGACAGAGACAGAGATAGAGAGAGACAGAGACAGAGAAAGTGCCTGCATATAGGTGGGAGGGAAACTGGGGACATTGGTGGTGCGAAATATGCACTGGTGAAGGGAAGGGTGCTGGAATCTTGTATGACTGAAATCCAATCATGAACAATCTTGTAACTGTGACTCAGTTAAAATAAATAAAATTTCAAAGTTAAATTCTAAAAAACTTATGAAAGGCCAAGGAGAAATTTCCTTTCATTATCTCAAAAGGGAAATGTCAGGGTCCATGAAAATAGTCAGTTTTGCCTAAGACAGAACAAACGCTAAAGGTTAATGTTACAATATTTAATAATAAGGTCAATTATTTATACATACATCCTGCACTGAATCACTTCTGGCACATCTTGTTGCATTTTGCTTTCATCAACCTGTCCTTGGTTTTCACTGGAGCACTGTCCTCCCGTTGTTCATCGATTTGCTCGAGTGGGCCCAATGACATCTCACAACAAATTGTGAAACTTGTTGTTACTGTTTTTGGCATATTGAATATGTCACAGGTAGCTTGCCAGGCTATGCCGTGCGGGCGAGATACTCTTAGTAGCTTGCCGGGCTCTCCGAGAGGGTTGGAGGAATCGAACCCAGGTCGACTGCGTGCAAGACAAACGCTCTACCACTGTGCTATTGCTCCAGCCCTTGGTTTGCAAAATGACAGAATTTCAGGGGCACTGAGTGCTCCAGACATGGATTCCACACCCAGTGTCCTCCTTGTTCCACAGGAATGCAGTCCTGGCCTTCTGCTTTCTTTTCTGGCCTTTCAAAACCTCTTAAATGGAGACTTCAGCTGCCACAGCTGGCTCTGCATATAACTCCATCACTGGGCCTCGTGTCACTAGGAATGATGGTCAGTTCTCCTGAGCATTGCTTGGGAAGTTTCAATAAGGAGGACCTTAGCCTGAACTAATCTGCATTCCACCTGGGTCTGTGACCCCGGCCTGGAAGCCTCAGTCTCCCGACGAATGCCGCGGGCATCACTGACTCTGGTCCCAGAGCCATGGAATTATCAGTAGCCGAGAAACCTTGGAGAAAATTACACCCAACTGGAGATGGCATGTGAACTGCATAGCAATCAGGACACTCACTTTACAGGGCAAGTAATAAAAGGGAGCTTAAAATTCCACGCCCGTGATAGCATTTCATTGCACTAACCCTCCATCAGCAGGGCTGGCCGCTAATTAAAACCCAGTTGGCCCCAATTGTGAGGCTCTCTAATTCACCCCGCCTCCAGGCTCTGCTGTTTGTGCTACTGAACGTAAGTCCACATTCTGGAAAACATGAATTATGTCCCTTTGAAATGGCAAGGGCTGTCTGTGACAAGGCGCGGGAATCCCAAGCATCAGCGATCCAGAGGATGCAGAGGAACCCCGGTCTCTGCGGGGAGAGAGAGCCCGGGGAGGCAGCGGCCGCAAGGGTCTTCACGTGCACGCGGGCAGCCTCCTGCCCTGGCTGTGGCCTGGAGAAACCCCCCAACGGGCTCTGGAGGGGCCGGCCCAACAACAAAGCTCAGGCTTCATGCTGCCCCCTAGGCCCTGCGGGTTCTCTGAGCCCACCCGTGTTGCTTGTCCCGCTCACCTGAGCTCCCACCGAGCCAGGACGCAGCCACCTGGATCTGAGGGACCGGCTGCCGGGCTCGACCTGCAGACACTCATTACTCACAAGGGACGTGAGTCAGGCCTGCAGCTGGCTCTGCTTGCTCTCACTGGGCTGCTCCATTCTTCCCCTAATGCCACCTGCCCAGAGCACAGTGCCAGCCCATCACACCCCTTCACTGAAGACCCTCCATGCGACAGGCTCAGAGTCACCTTCACTGACCTCACGCATTGGCAAAGAGAACAAAACTAGAAGTTTTTAATGGGACAGTAAATTTTATTTTATTTTTTAATCTTTTTTTCTCCCCCCCCCACAGTAAATTTTAAAGCCTGAGCATGCATTCAGGGGCAGAGCCCAGCCTCTCGAAACCCCACAGTAAGGCTAGAGCTTCCAGGGTTTCAGACACCCCACTTCTCGGCTTATAAGCCCAAACACAAAAGCAGTGATTCAAAAAAGATGCTCACCCCTAATTTCATTGTAGCATGGAGCCAGGACATGAAACAGCACAAAAATCTGGCTGCAGATGAGGGACTGGAGAAGCTGTAGTACACATACACACACACACACTGACACTCACTCATACTCACAGACACACACATATACACTGACACTCACACACATATACACTGACACTCTCACTGACACACAAATATACTCACACACATACACACAAACACAGACTCAAATACATACATACACTCACACACTCAAATACATACACACACTCAAACACACACATACACACAGTCACACACACACATACACACTATACAAACATACGCACTCAGACACACATACACTCACTCACACATACACACACACTCATACTCTCATGTACACACATATACACACACTCGTAAAAACTGGGAGCAGTGAGAAAGATGCACCCTTGGGATTTGCTGCAGCATGGATGGTCCTGGAGAGCCTCCTGTGAAGTGAAGAAGAATGATTTGCCAATGATCTCACACACCTGTAGTCCCCAGAGAGATGAAGCCAGGGGACAGACAGTGTCGGGAAATGACAAGTCCCCCGCCTTGGGGTGGGCGGGCTGGGGAGAAGACAGCAACCTGAGGGCGCTGGTGGAGGTGGAGACCCTTGGGCGCTTAGGTGGGGCGAGATGCAGGGACTTGTCTCAAAACCACAGACAACACCACCACGGGGCCGATCCCTGGGGTAAGTGGGGAAGCCTGACACACAGCAGACCCGGGGTGCGTCCCCCCCAACCACATATGGTTCCAGCCCGCCTGGCCTGACTCCCTGAGACCTGCACCCTTTCACAGCCTCCGAGTGCTGGGGAAGGAGGTGTGACCCGAGCAGGAGGGGCAGGCGGGACCCGGCCACAGCTGAGGCGGATAGGAGGCGGGGCCCAAATCTGCTGAACAGGGCTGGGCGGGCGGGCGAGCCGCTAGTTCCTGCGACCCGGAGCCCCTGGAGCCCGGGCAGAGCCAGAGCGAGACCAAGCCGGGATTGGGACAGGCTGCAAGTCCAGAGCCAGAGGCGGGTTTGGTCCCAGCGGGGCGGGGCCAGGCCTGGGAGGGCGGGGCCTCGGTGGTAGGGGCGGGGCCCTGATTGGGGGCGGAGCCGTATGTTGGGGGCAGGGCCGTATGTTGGGGGCGGAGCCGGCACGGGACCAAGTACTGGAGCTGGACTGTGACGGTGGGGCGGGGTCTGCTCCCGGGGAGGGGCCTGCTGGGGCCTGTCCGGGCTCCCTCGGGGCGGAGCCTGCGAGGTGCCTTTCCCCGGCGTGGGCGGCACGGGGCGCGGAGACTCGGCGCGGTGGTCACTGGAGCGCCGACACCGACACCGTCCCGGCGCCGGCGAGCAGCGGGTGAGTGGGGCCCGGGGAGGTGGCAGCGAGGTCACGGGGCGCCGCCCCCGGCTCGGTCTGCCGCAGTCTTGGGGGCGGGGCCTCGACGGGCCGCCCCGAGTCGGACGTCCTGGAGTGGGTCAGGGGAGACTTGGCTCCAGACACTGGGTGGGCGCCCGGCCGAGCCGCCCGAGGCCCCGGGAGAGACTGGCCGTCCGCTCTGCCCCCAGCTGCCCGGGGGGCTCCCCGCTCCGCACTGCGGTCAGCTGCCCGGCCCCGGCCCCACTCCCAGATCTCCCTGCCCAGGTCCCCGCTCCCAGGTCCCCCTGCCCAGGTCCCGGCTCCCCACGCCTGGCCTCCCGGCCCTCTGACCCTAGTCCTAGCTCCCGCTCCAGGCGTTCAGACCTGAGCCCTCCTCTGCTCCGCAGCTCTTTCTGGTGACATTGGGAGTGGAGGTGGGGACGCCGCAGGAGCAGGAGGAGGGGAGCAGCGGGCAAGTCCGCCCACTGCTGGGGAATGTGCCAAGCGCCCAGGCACCCCCTAGGGACTGGACCCGACAGCAGCTCCCGCCTCCCCATCTCCCCTCTCCTTCCCTGATGGCTGCTGAGTCAGGGGCCTTCTCTGCCATCCTGCTGCAGCTCCGCTGTCTTCTCTCTGCAGAACTGCTGTGCCTGGAGGAAGCGGGTGCCCACTCCTGCCCTGAGCCCACCCCAGGCCCACTCCTCACTGCCCTCGCTCCCACCATGGCTCCCACCATGGTACCCCTGCTGGCCCTGTGCCTGGTGGCGCTGGTGGGCCTGCCTCTGGGTAAGATGCCAGGGGGGGACGCACGGAACCATGTTTGGGGGCCAGGCAAGGGCTTCTCCCTGCCTGCCTGCCTCTCCTTCTTGGGGAGCCTCCCCCTGCCCGCCTCTCCCTGGGTAGCCCTCCCCCCTGTCCCTCTCCTTCTTGGGGAGCCTCCCCCTGCCCACCTCTCCCTGGGGAACCCTCCCCACTGCCCGCCTCTCCCTGGGGAACCCTCCCCCCTGCCCGCCTTTCCTTATTGGGGAGCCTCCCCCTGCCCACCTCTTCTTCCTGGGAAACCCTCCCCCCTGCCCGCCTCTCCCTCCTGGGGAACCCTCCCCCCTGCCTGCCTCTCCTTCCTGGGAAACCCTCCCCCCTGCCCGCCTCTCCTTCCTGGGGAACTCTCCCCCCTGCCTGCCTCTCCTTCCTGGGGAGCCTCCCCCTGCCCACCTCTCCTTCCTGGGGAACCCTCGCCCCTGCCTGCCTCTCCTTCCTGGGGAACCCTCCCCCCTGCCCGCCTCTCCTTCCTGAGGAACCTCCCCCCCCTTTCTCTTCCCTGGGGGAGCCTACCCCCTTCGTGCCTCTCCTGGGGCAGCCCAGTGCCCTGCTCTGTGTCGCCCACCCCAGCCAGGGCTCTGGACTGCCACGTCTGTGCCTACAACGGGGAGAACTGCTACAACCCCATGCGCTGCCCATCCATGGTCTCCTACTGCATGACCACACGCACCTGTGAGTTGGGGAGCCGGGAGGGGTTGCGGGGAGGGGGCCCGGCCCGTGCAGTCTCAGACCCTTGGTCGCCCCGCAGACTACACCCCCACCCGCATGAAGGTGAACAAGTCGTGCGTGCCCAAGTGCTTCGAGACGGTGTACGACGGCTACTCTAAGCACGCCACCACCACGGTCTGCTGCCAGTATGACCTCTGCAACACCGCCAGCCTCGCCGCCCCCGCCGCCCTGGCCCTCCTCCTCCCCACCGCCCTCTGGGCTCTGCTCTAAGGGCCCCTTGGCCACACCCAGGACTGCCCTCCCTTCACCGGACCCGGCCTCCCAAGAAAGGGGGTCCCCGTGAGAGGGGGCTGGCCCTGCAGACCATGCTAGCGGTGGGGCTGCCTCGAGCACTGGCCCAAGCAGGAGCTCCGGGCATGGAGGGCTCGGCCAGGGCCCGTGGCCTGCCCCGGACTGGAGGACCCACAGGACCCAGAAGCCGGATCTGTGCCCTGACTTGACTGTTCCTGCGGGCCAAATCCCTGACCTCCCTGGCCCTGTCCAGCAGGCTGTGAGCTGAGCTGGCTTCTATATCGGGCAGGTCACTCCTGGGCTGTCTGGGCAGAGGGACGGGAGTGGGCAGTGGGCCGTGGGCCCACAGAGCGGCCAGGCCCTGGGGAGAGGGCGCCCCCTTGTGGACGTCGTGGGAGAGAGAAGAGAGGGAGGGATCTGCCTCAGACTTGGGTGGGCAGGTCTCCCAGAACCCCCTGACTCAGGGAGTGGCCTTCGACGCCCCAGTCCTACTGGGAGCTGGACCCCCGAGCCCATCCCTAGTGACCCTATTTCTGCCTGTGTGGGAGGTGGGGCCTGCCCAGGGCTCAGATCTCCTCCTCCAGGAAGCACACAGGCTTGCTTCCTTTCTTGGGGCCCAGCACTGTGGCCCAGCAGACAGGAGGGTGGCTGGGCCCAGTGCTCTGCTACAACCAGGACCTCCGCACCTGGGCTCAGGTCGGACCCCACAGGGGCTGTGTCCAGGAGCGGCCAGCGAGGACCCAGTCGGCTGCTTCCCAAGGTGCAGCCCGGTGAGCCCCTTACTGCCCCCCCACCCCCAGAGCTGGACCCAGCGCCTACCCGGGGTCACCAAGAGTGAGACCTCCGCATCTGCCCATCCATCTGCTCCTTTCTTCTCGGTCCAGGCCCCAACTCCAGGCCCAGACTGCCCAGCAGGCCAGGGCGGGCTGACCCTGTTGTGGGGCCCTCTGAACTTGGGGGTGGAAGCACACGTGTCAGGCCTGCACCGCATCCACACCTTCCAGGACGGCTCACCAGCCCCCTCTGCATGCAGGGAAACTGAGGTAGGGGTTGGGGACGTGGTTGCCCCAAGCCTCTCCCCTGTAGTGCGGCCACCTGGGGAGCGGGTGGAGCCCCGTGGCCACGCAGCAGGACAGGCCTGGCCCGGCTGCCCTCCTTGGGGTCTCTGCCCCCAGAGCTGCCTGCCCCTCCCTCTGCGGGTCTGCAGGAGAAACCAGAGCCCCTGGCGTGGGCGCCCCGCGGTGTGGCAGATAGATGCCCCCAGGAGGACCTCAAGTCTGACCGCACCTCAGGCCCAGGAGACAGAGATGCCAACATGGCCGGGCCTGAGGGACCCGAGACAGAGTGGCCGGCCCTTCCTGCCCTCTCCTGAGCTGGGCCTTCCCGGCCAGAGTGCAGTGGCTCGGCTGTGTCTGAGAATAAACAGGCGGACCCCGTGTGTGCCCTGCTACCTGCCTGCGCCCACCTGCCAGCCCCAGCCAGCCAGGCTGGCTCGGCTGGTTCCGTGGAGATGGGACTCGCCCGGGCACCAGGCACCAGGTGTCATGGGAGTCAGCTGGTTCTGCCCGCTGAGGCCTCCCCGAAGCCCGTCCAGGAACGAGAGGGAATCTGGAAGCCAGCAGAACTGTTTCCCCCCCCCGAGAGTGGGTTCGAGTTCGTCCAGCCCCATCTAAGGCTCCCCAGAGCCGGTCAGAGAAGTCACACACATGCACACACGCACACATATCCACATGTACACACATGCACATGCACACACGCACACATGAACACACATGCACGCTCTCACACACACATGCACCCGCACCAGAAGGAAGGGTCCCCACCCTGCCTTCCAGGTTCTCACCGGTCCAGCCTCCCCCAGGCCCCCCCCGATGCCCTCTGAAAACTCCACGACACAGGTACTGCCCGTGGGTCAGACACCGCAGGGACCCTCGGGAGGAAGACACTGGGCAGGTAGCAGCGGGACCGCCCCGGTTGGGCGGGGTGCAGCGGGCCAGGTGTCTATAAGAGCAGCCCGCCCCACTGCTCCCCACACCATGCGGCTCCTCCTGGCGCTCCTGCTGGCCTCGGCCCTGTGCCTGCATCTGGGTGAGCCCCTGCCCCACCCCTGCTCACAGCCCACGTCCTCGCCTCGGCGGGGATCCCCGGCTCCAGGTCCCTTCCCGCCACTGGGCACCCCCGGGGGGGCCCTCTCACCTGCCTGCTCTGAGAGAGGAGTAGGTAGACCCTTGCCTGCCGCTTTCCCCTGGCTTGGGGCTGGGGGCACCTGGGCTTCCTCCTGCGACCCAGAGAAGTGACTGAGCATAGACCACAGTCACAGCTTGGGGGAGGGACTGAAGTGCCGCGGCCCCTCCTGGGAGAGTCCCTGGAAATCCAGGAGGCCTTCTTAGAGGAGGAGGCCAAGGCCTGGGGCTGGGGTCTGCCCAGAGCAGAGGCAAAGCTGTGGTATGTGTATGTGGGGGGGAAGATGCCTTTCTCGTGAAGGGCAGAAAGCAGAGCATGTGGCCTGACGTGCCCCCTCAAGGGTCCGGAGGGTCCAAGGCCTCGGCTTCTGCACTGGCCCCTCCGGGAGGGTCTCGGACTGTGGGGTGAAGGGAGCGGGGGTGCCCCCAGGGCTCCAGCCAGGTGGGTGCTCCTGTGTGCTCGCGTGTGTGCCCAGCTTCTGTCTTCCTATGTGTGTTCATGCATTACTCGTGTGTACACATGTGTTCACGTCTGTGTGTTCCCATGTGTCCACATGTTCCATGTGCTCCCATGTGTGTCCATGTGTATCAAGCATGCCTGGGTGCTCTGTGCCCTGTGAGAGGGCCCGTGGGCCTGGCTGAGGTTGGCTGCTGACCGGGGCAGAGCCCACTCCCTTCAGGGCTGTGGTGTTGGCTGGCTGGGGACTGGGACACGGGGTGCCCCCTGCAACCACTGGACAGTCACTGGGCGCCCCGCACCCCAGCCCAAGCACAGCTGTGTGTGCGCTCGGTGTCCCGGGTGGCCACAGCACCATCTGGGCCTCGTCTGCTTCAGGGCTGGTGCAGACCGCCACCCCCTGAGCACAGATGGGGGCACAGGGGTGGGCAGGCAGAGGGCAGAGGCTCAGGGTCTATCCACGTGGTGCCAAGACTGCTTTGCGGTTCCAGCTGCCCAGTGGCCCTGTGGGGGCCAGCTGCTGCCAGTGCTCTGTCCACTGGGCCAGGATCCCCCACACCTGCTGGGCTGTGGCCTGTTCCCGGAGGCAACAGGGCCGTGGCCACATTGGGGACCCCCTGCTCCCCACCCGTGGTCCCGGGGCTCAGAGAGGACTCAGCCTCCCCAGCATGCGCCTGCATCCCGGGCCTGGGGTCCACGCCCGGAGTGACTGTGTCTGGGCTGAGGGTTGAGGGGTCCCCAGGGAGGGCAGGTGGGACATCAGGACACCTCCCAGACTCCAGAGAGGGCTCGACACCCCAAGATGAGCGACAAGTCACAGGCTACATGCCGGCCCCTGCCCCTGACCCGCCCTCTGCAGCCGGCGCCATGGAGTGTCACCGGTGCAAGGGCTTTGGAAGCTGCCACCACCGGGCCAAGTGCCCCCCCAACTCGGACCACTGTGTCACCATTGCCACCCGTGAGTGGGGATCGGGCGCAGGAGGGTGGACACGGGGGGCAGGGGCTCGGGGATCTAAGCTTCTGTCTGCCTGCAGGAGTCACCGCCGTTGTCCCTGACCTGCCTCTGGTGTTGAAGAAGTGCTCCCGGGGCTGCCCCGAGCCAGCCAGCCTGGGCCTTGGCCCACATGTGTCTGTCTCCTGCTGCCAGGCCAGTGTCTGCAACCAGGCCTGACCCGCCCCCGTGCCCCCCCAGCCCACGTGACCCTCCATGCCCCATGTCCTGAGCAACCAATAAAACCGTCTGGTACACTCAGTGCAGCCTGATCCTGGAGGGCCTGTGCCTGGCAGGGCTACAGGTGTTCATGGTCCAGTGCTCAGAGGTGGGCAGGAAACCCACCAGCCCTGGGGTCTGGGCTCATTGGTGACCCCCGGATCCAGTGCTCACCCTTTTTCCTTCCTGGGACCCGTTCTCTGCCCCCGACCTGGCCACTCCTGGAGACTCACGGGAGGATCAGCCCCCTGGAGGGGTACATGGGCCCGTGTACCCCACACCCCACCCTCTGACCTTCCCCAGACAGGTAAAGGTAAAGGCCCTCCCGTTGATCGTCGATTTGCTCGAGCGGGCCCAGTAACGTCTCCATTGGAGACTTTGTTGTTACTGTGTCTGGCATATCGAATACTCTCGGTAGCTTGCCGGGCTCTCCGAGAGGGGCAGAGGAATTGAACTCGGGTTGGCCATGTTGGCCGCTTGTAAGGCGAACGCCCTACCCACTGTGCTATCGCTCCAGCCCGGGTCCAGACAGGGTCCCCAGGAAAAGGACAGCAAGTGAGACGCAGCCCAGCACGAGGCCTGACAAACGGGCGGAGGTCAGGACACACCCCACAGGCCCACGGTGGCAGGGGGTGGTCCCCCTCCAGGGCTGGGGACAGGCCTACCCCTCGTTCTGGGCCTCACACGACACTCGAGACAGGTTCACAGGTGGAAATACAGAGCTCTGGGCTGGAGTGATAGGACAGTGGGGAGGGTATTTGTCTTACATGCAGCCATCCCAGGTTCGATCCCCAGCATCCCCCATGGCCCCTGAGCACTTCCCAGGAGTAATTCCTGAGTGCAGAGAGCCTGGAGGAACCCCTGAGCACTGCTGGGTGTGACCCAAAAACCAACAAAAAAGGAAAAGAAAACTAGAACTTTCTCTGTTTGGTGTTTGGGTGCGGGGTCTCAGGGGGCCCTGCTGTCCCCTGATGTGTGCACTGCTCCGGCCCAGGAGCGTTTTGTTGGCGACGGAGGTTCAGAAGAGAGGGGGCCCATCACCAGAGGATCGCGCCCCCACCCCAGAGTGGAAGGGCCAACTTGTTGAGCGCGGCTAGAACTGTCCCAATGACCAACGTCCTTCACTCCCCGCAAGTGAGCACGCGGCGTCCACAGGTGTGGGGGGCTGGAAACCCCAGGTCCAGTAGCGCCACCAGCCTGTCCAGGGCCTCCCCACACAAAGCCCCACTCTGACCGGGCAGCAGGAAGTCCCCACAGTGCAAAGGCCAGCTGGGGACATAAACAAATACAGTGGGCACATGTGTGTGTGCATGCTGGTGTCCCGTGCACACGGCTGCAGTGGGTGTGTGCTAGGACAGTGGGCATGTGTACATGAATGCTGGTATACCGTGCACATGGCTGCAGTGGGTATGCGCTAGGATGGGCACATACGTGCACATACATGCTGGTATGCCATGCACATGACTGCGGTGAGGGTATATGAGGACAGTGCCTGTACCTCACTTTGGTCTAATCACTAATAAAAATTCTAGCAGAGTGCATATGCCGGTATAGTCTACAAACACTGCTACAGTAGCCATGTACACTGCTATACGTGTCTCCAAAAGCAACAGATACCAGCAGTGTGATAACACTAACAGTGCACACACCCACCGCATGCATAAGCTAATATAGTTCACATATACTCCTACACTCGCGCATACTAGGAGTACAGACTAATGCAGTGCATTTACTAGTGGTGCCTGTAGATTACTGCAGTTTACATACACTAATGTAGGTGTACAGGCTCATATGAATAAACAACATGCATGTACTCAAAGTGTGTACACCCTCCCACATGGCATATACCACACATGCATGTGCTCCCATGTGTACAGACTGTGCACATCCTTGCACAGCGCACATATCCAGTAATAAGGTGTTCGCAGTTGTACACAGAGCACACTGGCCTGCAGTGCAGAGGTCCCCTGGGAGTGGGACCCTAAGCTCCTTGGTAAGCAAATAGGGTGGCTGTTTGTTTTTTTTTTCTGAATAGTATGCTTTTTAATTCTGTTTTTAATTGCACCTGACAAAATACAGTTATCTGATGGTTCCTCGATTATGTTATTTCAATAAAACAAATTACATGTAGGTTAATGACTGTTTCCCCCTTAGAAGTGATGCCGGCCTCACAGCATGAACTTCCTACCTAGAGCGCCAGGAACCGGGCCCATAGCCTCGGCTGGGAAGGACTCTAACCCGACCTTTGCCACCTCTGAAGGCGGCACAAAAGCCACCTATGTATGCTATGGGGAATGGGGCCCGACCCACAGCTTCTGTAGGTTCTGGTGGCAGCCCAGCGGGTCAGGACAGATGTCTTCCAAGCGGGGCCCCCAAGGGGCCGCACACTGGTGAGGACAGGCCGAGGCTTCTCCAATGGAGGTCTCCCAGAGTGAGGGGTGCTCTGCTGAGCCTCTTACTCTCCGGGGCATGGGAGCAGTGGCAGTCACTTGTTTGCTTTTTATTTTTAGGGCAGGGAACCCCAAGGTGACCCGGCAGGTATCTGGGCCATTGAGATGGCTTTGGCACCCCCTCAAAAAATAAAGAGAAGGGAAGGGGGTAAGCATAATGGACCCCTGGGCCCTTATGTTTTCCTGGGGAAGGGAAATTAAAGCATCTCCATCAGAAAGACGGTGGATTCACTCAGGCTTAACACTCCACAGCATGGTGAGGAGGGCATTTGCCTCACACGCAGCCGGCCTGGGCTCAGTCCCCGGCATCTGGTATGGTCCCCGAGCATCACCAGGAGTGACCCCTGAGCATCGCCAGGTGTGGTTCTGAAACAAAAACAAAACCCAAAAGCAAGTTGGGTGCCTGACACGCGGCTGCTGGCAGACCGTGTGCCCTCTGGGTTCCATGGTGGAGTGAACGGGAGCCCCTGTGAGGGCCCGAGGGCCGCACCCCAGTCCTCAGAGCCACATTCTCTGCAGAGCCTTCCCCTCAGTCACTGCAGAACAATGCGGGCCAGGAGAGCCGCTGGTTGCCCTGCCTGAGCACAGGGGCGCTGCCCTCCCGCCACTGTCCGAGTGCCACCGCAGGCCGAGGCTGTGTCTAACAGCACCAGGAGAGTGTCCAAGGGCACCTGAGATGCGCAGGGTAGGAGGGCGGCGCTCTGCTTCCAGTGGACAGTGTCGGGCAGGCATGTCAGGGCCACTCTCGGGCATGACCTCAGTGAGCCCGACCCTGTCATCCCCGATCCCTTCCCGCCCTACCCCATCACACCTGACCCCGTTACACCCTGACCCCGTCACACCTGACCCTGTGACACTGATCCCATCACACCCGACCCCATCACACCTGACCCATTACACTCTGACCTCATCACACTCTGCTCCTGATGGAGGTCACACACTGACCTGACCCCATCACACTCTGGGAAACTGAGGAACAGGGAGACCCCAGATCTTAGGGTCTGGGGTCCCTAAGACCCACAAGTGACGACTGTGCCCTTGCGGGAGGCGCAGCTGAGTAAGGCCGGAAGCTGAGGGCAGTGGCGGCTGGGGCCAGCACAGTCTCTGGGGCCTGGGTGGGGACCTGAGGTCCTGGGCTTGCTGGGACAATGGAGCAGTGGGAGCGGGCAGGAGGTGCTGCTTCTAATCCGCCAGCCTGATGGGCCTGTCGAGGCGCCCCACCTCGACAATCTGCCAGTCACTTCCGCCACCCTGATCAGGGTCACCCAGGGGCCACCACGGCCCACCAAGGCTCAGGGAGATTCACCCTCCCGGGCCCACTCCCACAACACACTGAGTCTGCAGGGGCCAGATGGAACTGTGTGGGAGCCCCACAGTGCTCGGGAGCAGGGAGCATGGAGGGATTGGGAGCAGCCCTGGGGGAATGGGAGCACCCCTGTAGGGACAGGGAACATGGAGGGAGGGGAGCACCCCTGCAAGGACAGTGAGCACAGAGGGAGTGGAAGCACCCCTGTGGGGACAGGGAGCACGGAGGGAGTGGGAGCATCCCTGCAGGGACAGGGAGCATGGAGAGAGTGGGACATCCGTGCTAACCGGCCCTGCCCTGTGGCTGCCCATTGGCTCTGTCGGGAAGGGGTCCCGGCGCTGGCCCCGTCCACAGCGCTCACCTCTTCTTCCCTGCCTTTGTGCCCTTAAGCCTCTGAGCAAACTTGGGCAGGTTGTCCAGGCAGCGGTCACCCCAGCACCAGCACCGCACACAGAGCCAGGGGCTGGGGCAGGGCATGGGGGGGGGGGCTTCAGCCTGGACTGGACCATGACGTCCCCTGAGAGGGGACCTCAGAAGGGGCTGATCAATCAGGAGTGGGGGCAGCCCCCACTATGCCCAGCTGGCCCGCCCTCCTCGGTCACCCCACTGCCCACCCTCGCCTGCACAGGCCATGGAGGTTGGTGTCCACGGGTGTCCCCTGGATGACCAGGGGGCTTCCGAGGGACCAGGCTCAACTAGGGGGCAGTGGAGGAATGAGGAAGGGGAAGGGTGGGGTGGGGGGAGCGGCGGGAAACGGGAGTCCCGGTGTCAGTGGACGCGCCCAGCAGGAAGGGCGGGTCACACCGCTCCCACAGGGAACCCGATACCGCTAAGCCTCCGGGCCAACCGGTCAGGTGGCCATGCCGCCCCTCACCAGTCACTGTGCCCTGCAGGCAGAGAGCAGTCGCCGTGCAGGACTGACCATGCCGGGCACAGGGCTGACCCTGGGACTGGCACTGGTGCTGACCATCTGCAGCGAGCCTGGTGAGGGCCAGGGCCGGGGCAGGGAGGATGGGGTGGGGAGGAGAGAGGTCCGAGGCGGGTGGGCAATGGGGTGGCCGAGGACTAGCTGGACTCTGGTGTCCCACAGAGCCTGGGGCCTCTGGGGGTTCAGTGCTACCAGGCCAGGTGCCGGAAGGGGCCCTGGGCCAAGGACGATGTGGGACCCCCCCCGCACAGTATGGTGGGTGCCAAGGTGCAGGAAGAAGGAAGCGACCTTGACATCTCAGCCCCCCTGCCCCCCGTGGGCTGCACGGGGAAACTGAAGTCAGCCCGGGAGAAGTAACGATGCTCAGGGAGGTGCCTGGCGGCCAGGCCACTGGGGCTACCCGGGTCCCGGGGATGGGCACTGCAGCCTGAGTCTGGCCCTGCCATTCAGGGTGCCATGGACACCCCATCCAGCCTGGCCCCTGCCCACCCTGCCATAGCCCTGCGCTGGCCAGGAGACACCCAGGGATGCCCTACTCACTTCCCCGGCTCACAGGGACCCGTCACTCGGGGACACACCTTGGCGGGCATCGTGGCTGTGGGTGCCGGAGCAGGGAGCAAGGGCAGGGCAGAAGGGTCAGAGGGCGCTGGGCCGGACCCCGAGCAGGGACTCCCACGGTGACCTGGCGTGCTCCATCCTCTCGGGGGCTTGGGGGAGCCCCGCCTTCCTGGTCTGGGGGACAGTGGTCCTCACCAGCCCTCCTCCCCAGCCGCGGCCCTGCAATGCTACACATGTCACGAGCCCATGGACGTGTCCAGGTGCACCACCATCACCACGTGCAGACGCAACGAGACCATGTGCAAGACCACCCTGTACTCGCAGGAGATCGGTCAGTGGGGCGGCCGTGGGGCGGCCAGAGGGGGCGGCCAGTGGGGCAGCCAGTGGGGGGTGGCCACCTGTACTCACGGAAGTCCGATCGGCTGGGGAGACCACCCTGTGTTCACAGGTCAGTCAGAGGGGGCGGCCAGCCATACTCGAGGGGTCAGTCATTGGGGCCAACCACCCAGTACTCACAGGAGATTGGCCAGTGGAGGCGGCCACCCTATTCTCATGGGGGAACAGTCAATAGGGATGACGCAAGGCAGTCCTGCTCCCCTCTGTCCCCTGTCCCCATCTTTACCCTCTCCTGTCCCTGCTAAGGACCAGAGTGTCCAGCAGGGGGTCCCCAGGGAAAGAATCGGCTTCCTGGGGCAGAAACTGGCCCTTCCCTGTGTAGTTGGGAACCATTTGTGTCTTTACTACCTAGTCATGTAACCTTGTCACTGCGTGTCCCCATCACCGTGCGTCCCTGTGGTGTGTCCCTGTCACTGTGTATCCCCAGCAGCAGGAACCGTGAGAGTGGGAGGGAGACAGGAGGTGCGAGAGGACCAGGTGTCCTTATGTTGAAACTGACTGGGCGGAGGGGACTCCCGGCAAGGCCAGAGCTGCCTGTGCCCACCTGTATGCCCCATCCCGTGTGCCCAGGCATGAGTGTGCCCTTCCCTGTGCCCACAGTGTACCCCTTCCTGGGCGACTCCACGGTCACCAAGTCGTGTGCCAGCAAGTGCCAACCGTCAGACGTGGATGGCATCGGGCAGACGCGGCCGGTGTCCTGCTGCAATGCAGATCTGTGCAACGTGGACGCGGCGTCCCCTCCGCATGCCCCTCGCCTGGGCCTCACCCTCCTGCTGGGGCCCCTGCTCAGCCTGGGCCTCTAGGCCCCCACGCCAGCCCAAACCCAAGTATAGTTGCCTGCACCTGCCTCTGTGTTTGCCTCAGGGCCCTCTGGCGCAGCTCCCCACGGGGTGCCATGTCCACCCACTGCCCAGGGTCCCTGCAGCAGCAAGGCCGACGGGCAGGGCACCTCCCCTGGGGGTTGGGGTCGTGGTGGGGGCAGGCAGCACTTCCGGGAGACTGAGGGTCCCTGGGGTCCCCACACCCCCGCAGCACTGAGACACTGGCCCTCAGGAGGGGTCACCTGGCTCCAGCACTGTGGAACCATCTCCTGCACATGGTGGGCCTGGGCACGCCAGGTGGGACCCCCTACCCTAGCCATGGAGGGGCACGAGGGTGGCAGGCCGGGAGCCCCTCACAGCCTGGCCACTCTCTCCTCTGCTTGAGCATCTGTGGGGCTTGGAGGGGGCACTGCCCAGTCGGCCCCCACCCGGAGAGCCGCCCCTCCCGGGTAGGGCCCCTGTCCTGGGTATGTGTGGGAGCTGTCAGGGGCAGCTGAGGCCCCGCAGGCAGCTGGGGCCGGGGACTCTGTCTCCTCTCCTGAGGCTTTGAGATCTCCAGGTGCCTCTGAGAGTCCCCTAGTCCAGTGACATCCCCCCCCTCCACTCACTGCTCTCAAACACCACGTCTACACCAGGGACAGCCACATGGCCGCTGCAGGGCCCTAGGGGCTGTGGGCCGCGTGTGCACGTGACCAGGCCCTGGGCAGGTCATACCTGCAGCATTTCCTCCCGGCCACCGATGTCCCAGGTCCTGTCTCCTTGCCCCACCCCATGCCAGGTCACTCAGTAGCTGGACCCAGGAGGGCCATGGAAGTTTCCAGCCCTGGAGGTCAGCTTGGCAGCCTGCATCCAGGACCTACGCCCTACCAGGAGTCAGGAAGGATGCCTGGGGCAGAGCTGAGTGCCTAGGGAAGCTCGACTAGCCCTGCAGGAAGTGACCCTCTCCCAGGGACATCCCAGGCTGCATAGCTGAGTGGTCAGAGGCACCGAGGTATTGGCACCCTGGGAGAGGCAGCCTGGTGGAGCAGGTGACACCCATCCTGGGGTGCCTGATGTGGAAGGTCTTCATCTGGCTGTCTCCAAACACCATCAGTCACCTAGTCACCCACCCACTGCTCCTTCACCTCCTCCCTCCCTCCACCCATTGGTATGAGCCTCCACCCTCCTAGCTATGCATCCATCGACCCGCGCGGCCATCTCTCCATCCACCCTTCCCTCCTATTTGACAATCTCCCACCCATCCATTCATCTCTGCACTATCTCCAAGCAACTCATCACTTGCCCATCCATCCACCCATCCATCCCCCCACCTATCCCCATCCATCCATCCATCCATCCACCCATCTATTCATCCACCCCTCCCTCCATCCACCCATCCATCCATCCATCCATCCACCCACCCACCTACCCATCATCCATCCGCCCACCCGTATATCTACAGTCCACCATCCATCCATCCCCCACCCATCCCCCACCCATTCATCCATCCACCCACCTATTCATCCATTCACCCATCCACCCATCCACCCATCCATCCACCCCTCCATCCATCCATCCATCCCCTCACCCATCCACACACCCATCCATTCATCCACCCACCTATTCATCCATCCACTCATCATCCATCCACCCATCATCCATCCACCCATCCATATATCCACAATCCACCATCCATCCATCCATCCCCCCACTTATTCATCCACCCCTCCATCCATCCATCCCCCACCCATCCACCCCTCCATCCATCCATCCCCCATCCATCCACCCCTCCATCCATCCATCCCCCCATCCATCCATTCATCCATCCATCCATCCATCCACCCGTCCATCCATCCATCCCTTCACCCATCCATTCACCCACCTATTATCCATCCATCCACCCATTCATATACCCACAATCCACCATCCATCCATCCACCGCTCCATTTCCCACCCATCCATCCACCCCTCCATCCATTCATTCCCTCACCTATCCACCCACCCATCCATCCATCCATCCATCCATCCACCCATCCATCTATCTACCCATCCATCCATCCATCCCCTCACCCATCCATTCACCCACCTATTCATCCATCCATCCACCCATCCATATACCCACAATCCACCATCCATCCATCCACCGCTCCATTTCCCACCCATCCATCCACCCTTCCATCCATTCATTCCCTCACCTATCCACCCACCCATCCATCCATCCATCCATCCCCCCACCTATTCATCCACCCCTCCATCCATCCATCCCCCCACCCATCCACCCCTCCATCCATCCATCCCCCCATCCATCCATCCATCCATCCATCCATTCATCCATCCATCCATTCATCCATCCATCCATCCACCCACCCATCCATCCATCCATCCACCCATCCATCCATCCACCCTTCCATCCATCCATCCCCTCACCCATCCATTCACCCACCTATTCATCCATCCATCCACCCATCCGTATACCCACAATCCACCATCCATCCATCCACCACTCCATTTCCCACCCATCCATCCACCTCTCCATCCATTCATTCCCTCACCTATCCACCCACCCATCCACCCATCCATCCACCCATCCATCTCCCCATCCATCCACCATCCACCCAGCCATACATGTATGCCTCAATCCCTCCCTCCCTCCAACCATCCCCCACCATCCCCACACTCACTCTCCATTTCTTTCTAGTCATCCATCCAACATCCAACCGTCCACTGACCTGTCGTTCCTTATACCCTTCCAAGCATCTCCCCACTCACCTACTACTCACCATCCCCTGCTCCCTCTTTCCACCCACCACTGCGGCCGCCCGCCTACCCCTCCAGATAGCTGGCATTTATCACCCATTTTAAAAAATTTCTTTTCCCATTTATCTTTTAGTGTGTCCATCAGTCTGGTCATCACTCTTTCCATGTACACATCCCCATCTGCCTGCCTGTCCAGTTGCCGGCACAGAGATCCATCTGCCCACTGCCCAGACTGACCCTCTGCCTACTGCCTGCATATTTCTCCTCTCTATCTGCTTCCACGGCTGCTCCACAGCTCGTGGGTCTGCTGGCCCCATGCAGCCTCCCACTCCCTCTGCTGAGCCCTCTCATAGGTTCAGGCCGACCCTGGGGGATGGACCCCCTGCCTGGTACAGCCTGCCGGGACTTGAACCCGGCCCCCCCCTCCTCTGCCTGGGTGCGGGCACTACCCACCCAGCCTGGCGGACACCCACCCTGCCACACCTGTGCCAGGCGGCCCTGCTGTTTGATTTGCAATATCCACGGTATTTCCCTCTGCAGCGACACCCTCCTGGTTTCCCTCAGCACATAGCCGGTCTTTCCCACGCTCAGATCCATCCCGGATCCCTCGTCCCGGCCTACCACTGGGTTAAGGTCTGAGGCATGAGGAAGTCCTCGAGGAAGGAACACAAAGGGATAGCAGAGGCCCATAACCCAGGCCACTCTCGGCCGCACCATCACTCACCTTCCTTCCTGGAAGCCCGCCCTCCACCCAGGCACACTTCAGCCGTGCCCAGACGGCACCCACCCACCAAACACCATCCACCCATTCAGTGTCCTTCAGCATTCACCACCCACCCGCCCTCCCACCCATCCGTCCTTCCACGCATCCACCCATCCATCTGTCCACTCACCCACCCTCCCATCCATCCCTCCATCCATGCACCCACCCATCCACCCTTCCACCCACCCCCTCCCACCCATCCACCCTTCTGCCTGCCCTTCCCACCCGCCGCCAGCCGCCAGCCAGCCACTCATCCTGTGTCCATTCCCCCCTCCATGTGGCCACCCACCAAGCTCTCAGAGGACAGACCCTGGACAGGCTGGTGTCCAGGATGGACACCTGGGGCCCTGGCTGTGAATTCAGGCCTGGATGGGGACCACTCAGGGGCAGCACAGTGGGCCACAGCAGGGAGAGTGTTCAGAGGTCGGGCAGGGGTGGAGGCCGGAAGCTGGCAGGGACAGCGGGTAGAAACTTGTGCATCTCACACGTGATCTAGCCATCTCCACTGGGGCTGGCAGTGAGGACCGTGACCGGAGGCCCCTGTCACCTGCTGACCCTGTCGCTGAGCCCTGCTCAGGCTTTGAGGCAGGCTGCCCCGGGGTGGACATGAACAGGGCACAGCGCCCCAACTGGATCCTGCGGTCAGCCCAGAGGGCCACTAAGGCCTGTGTGAGCCCAACCAAGAGCAGGGCCTGGCCGGGAAGGGCTGACTCCACAGAGGGGGCCGAGGCCCAGCGTGTCCCCAGCAAGGCGCCACGCCCCCATCCCTGTCCCTCTCCGCCCAGACACTGACTCAGCCTGTGGGCGCCGCCCCTGTGGGCCAGGGCATAAACCCTGGAGTCTGCTCCGCCCCGGTTCCCTCACAGCCATCCGCAATGGCCTTTCCCGGGGTGCTGCTGGCTCTGGCGCTGGCCGCAGCCTGGACGGCACACAGCGGTGAGTGTGGTGGCCAAGTTCTCCCCGGGGGCCTTCCTCTGCTCCGGGCTCACCCCGCCCCACGAGGTCCTGGGGTGTAGGGCCTGAGCAGTCGGAAAGATGGGGGGACACCAGCTCCGCCGGACCCCAGGGAAGAGGAGGGACGCACAGGCTCTCCTGCGAACATATCCCCATCCCGCCCCCGCCCAGGTGAAGCCTTCAGATGCTTCACCTGCGAGCAGCCCACGGTCATCGAGGCCTGCAGGAACATCACCCAGTGCGGGCAGGAGCACACGGCCTGCAGCACCTCGCTGGTCATGGGCCGCTCAGGTGAGCCCTGGACGGAGGGCCTTAGGCACACAGGGACAGCCCCATGCTGGGCTGGGGGGGGCGGCAGGCGGGTGGGGGCAGGTGCCCGGAGCAGCCCTGACGCCGAGCCCCCGCCAGAGTTCCCTTTCAACCAGAGCCCCCTGGTGATCCGCTCCTGCTCCAGTTCCTGCAAGGCTACAGACCCTGACAGCATCGGGGATGCGCACCTCATCCGCTGTTGCTTCCAGGACCTCTGCAACTCCGGAGGCACTGCCAGCCCCGGCATCAGGGTTCTGGCCACGCTGGGCACCGCACTGCTGGGCCTCATGCTCCCCTGAGGGACCGTAGCCCCCAGATCCAAAGCAAATAAACACCCAATGCCACCGCTGTCCCCGGGGTGTTTGGGCTGCACCCCCAGGCCTCTCATGAGTGGGGGTCATGGGGCAGAGGGAGATGCACCTGCCCTGGGACCCGCCCCCAAGTCTCCCTGCTCCCACCGGGGTCCCTCCCAGAGCTTTACCTGTCCTGCTCCAAAGGGGCAGCTGGGGGGCCACCTGAGGGACGCTGCTGCCACAAGCCTGACCCGGGGCCCCTTTCCTGGCCAGTGGGTACCCACTCGGCTGCACAGTGGCCCTCGGGTGCAGCCCAGGACCTGGTGTCTGGCTGGCAGGGGAGCAGGCTGCCCCCTGGGTCCCACTCCAGCCCCCAGGGACAGGCGCTTTCTGCTTCTGTCCAGCTGTCCTTGGCTCTGAAGCACCGTGGTCACCCCGGCTGGGCCTCTGGGTCCTGCTGGCTCTGGCAAATTCTGGGGTGAGGGACTAGACCCAGAACAGGCAGGAGGGAGGGACAGGACCAAGGCAAGGGGGCCCAGGGGGTTGGCGCCCAGCTCAGCCCTCTCCCAAACCCCCGCACAGACCCCGCAGAGGCAGCGAGGGCCTGAGCCCAGCGCTGTGGCCCCCCCCCCCCCCCCCCCCCCCCCCCGCGTCCCCCACCGCAGCGGCTTCGGGGACCGCGCATCGCACCGCGCCGCTGCGGCCAGCAGAGGGCGCCCGACGCCGGGTCCGCGTGTGGACCCTGGGGAACTAAGGAGGAGCGCCCGCACATCGAGACCCCACCTTCAGGAGAAGGTGCACACGGCGGCACAAGGCCACCGCTCCGCCCAGGGCAGACTCCGAGTCAGAGTCCGCCTCGCTGGCCCCGTGACCCCACCGCGCCCCGTTCGTGGGTGCCGGAGCAGGAGGGCGCCCTGTGTGTGCCCAGCACGGTGGGCAGCGTCCCCCACCACTTCAGGCCAGGGCAAGCCCAGCCCTTCTGCCCAGACCCCCTTGAGCACTGCCCAGGACACGGGCACTGTGCCCCTTCTCCAGGTCTGTCCCCAGCAGTCTCGGGCCCACTCTGGGGTACCTGACCTTCCCCATGTCCTGTCCTTCCTGGGTGGCAGTGAAGAGACACAATCTGAGTGGACAGTCACGGGGCTGGGGTGGGGGTGGGCTGGGACATACCCTCCCAGAGGCCGGCAGGGCTCCCTAGCCCTCAGCCCCTGCCAAGACCCCCCAACCGCAGGAGCTGAGGACCTGGAGCCCAGGGCCCCAGGGCAGCAGGGCCGGGGGCTAGCTCCAAGGGCAGCAGGAATGGGCCAGGCCAGACGGGGGTGTCCCTGAGGGGTGGCCGAGCCCAAGGTGTGGCTGAACCGCACACTCCGTTTCCGACACTTTAATCAGACTTTCTTGAAATAAATAGAACAGAGCATGGCGGCTTTGCACGTGCACGCAGCGGGGAGGCGGCAGCGCCGGGCAGCTGTGCTCGGTGATGGTCCAGCAGGCCGGGCAGCTGGGCGACACGGGGCTGGCAGCCTCATTCAGGAGCCCGGGGCCGCACCTTGCAGACAAGGTGGGCAGCAGCCAGAGGGCACCAGCCCGCCCCGGCTCCCACCGCCCACGGACCAGGCCTCTCGGCGCAGGCGCCCCCATGGCCTGTGGCCTTCCCACCTGGCCCACAGCGGTGCCCTCCCAAGCGAGCCATGCAGCGGCGGCCCTTCCCGGGACTCTGCGCAGGGGGCCATCGTCAGGATGCCAGCGTCGTCGCGCACCCCAAGCCCAGCGCGGGGTGGAGCCCAGAGGGGTCGGTGACAGGGCGCGGGGTGGGCGACAAGTCACTGGTCCTTGGAGGAGGCGTCCAGCCCGCTCTCGGCACGCAGCAGCCGGCTGCTGGCTTCATTGTAGGAGACCCAGTGCTGCAGGTCCTCGGGCAGCTCCGGCGGCTCCACCTGCAGGGACAAGGCGGTCAGGGAGGGGGTCAGAGCTCCAGCCCCGACCCAGGGCGCGCTGGCCCGTCTCCAATCCGCTGCGCTCCCGGCCCGGGAGGCCGGCGCGGGGGGTGCCCGCCCGGGGTTGCGGCGGCCTCGGGTAGGAGCTGGAGCCCCGGCAACCAGCAACCGCTGCCGGGCGCCGGCCATCCCCAGGGTCGGGCTGCCGCGTCGCCAAGGAGGGGAGCAGCAGGGGCCCAGGGGAGCCTCTCAGCGCCTGAGAGGCGAGCGCCCCGAACTCAGATCAACCGGGGCTGGCGGCCGCGTCTGGGCTCGGGGGGCTTCAGACCTCCCCGCGGGGGGCCCCGGCGATGGGGGGAGGAGGGTCCGGGGTGCTGGGGGTACGGGGCGCTCACCCGGCGCTTGCACAGGTGCTGCACGACGCGCTCCGGCGTGGTGCCCACCACGTGCTGGCGGGAGCGCAGCAGCGCGCACACGAAGCCGTCGCGCGCGCTAACGAAGCGCGCCTCCACGTAGAAAGCGCGGTGGTCCCAACCCAGCAGGCGGGTGCGCACCTCGAAGGCCTCGAAGAGGCGCAGCGAGCGGCGGTAGCGCGCGCACGAGGCGGCCAGCACTGCGTGCGCCCCCAGCTCCCGCAGCGCCCCCAGCACGCCGCAGCGGGCCAGGTGCGCGGCGCGCGCCACGTCGGCCTCGCGCAGGTAGCGCGCGTTGTTCATGTGCAGCAGCAGGTCCAGGTCAGAGGGCAGGACGCGGCCCCGGTAGCGCTGCTCGGCCAGCAGGTCGCGGACGCGCGGCTGCAGCAGGCGCGCGCGCAGCACGGCGCAGGGCACGCGCACCAGGTACCAGCCGTCCAGCAGCGCGAAGTAGGCGAGCGCCAGGGCCAGCCCGGCCGCCAGCAGCTCCAGCATGACGGCCCCAGCCCCGCGCGCCGCCGCCCGCAGCCCGCCCGCCCGCCGGGTGCGGCCCGCGCCGGGCGGCCGGAGCGAACCACCGCCGCGGCCGGCCGGGGGAGGGCGGGCACGCGCGCGCGCGCACGGACGCGGCCCGCGCCCCGCCCCGCGCCCCGGGCACCCCCGCGGCCCCAGTGGTCCCTTCCGGCCGCCGCGGGCTGCGCGCGCCACAGCGGCCTCTGCGGGCGGCGCCGCGCGTTGCAGACGCGACCTTGCGCGCAGCTAGCACCCGCGCCCGCGCTGACCCCGCGGGGGATGGGGAGGGCGGAGAGGCGGGGGTCGGGCTCTCTCCGGCCCCTCGGCCCCAGCGGAGGCCGAAGCCACCCGCGTCCGCCCGAGTCAGCCGTGGGTCCCCGCGGTGCCTGCCCTGCCCTGGCTTGGGGTCACCCCTTTCCCCGCCCGGGAGAGACCCCCGGGTGTTGGCTGGGGGGATGCGCGCGCAACCGGCGGGTCTCCCGCGCCGGCCCGTCCGTCAGGCCGCAGCACTCTCGTCCACCCCCCCACGGGAGAGGCCCCGGGACGGCTTCCTGGCAGTCACCGGGGCGGTCCTGCGCGGACAGAGGCTGAGGTCTTTGTTTGCGGCCAGCAGCTGGACAGTGAGGCCTTGGTTCGCCCCGGGCTCCCTCCGCCCAGTGCTCCTGTGCACAGGGCCCTCATTCTTGCCGCCCGGGGCGAGGATTCACCGGTGTCTGTTTGCCCGCGTGGCTCTGAGCCCGTTGTACCCGCAGGGCGGGGCCGTGGCACAGAGGGACACAATGGACACGCTCTTGGAGATGCCGTTGACCTCGCTGAGACCGGGCAGCGCAGATCAAGCTCAGCGTAGTGCAGAGGGTCAGTGGAGGTCAGCGGATGGGAAAGGGGACAAAGCCCTGACCTGCTTCCTCCTGGGTGGCCGTCTGCCAAGGGACCCTCGCCACCCAGCTTCTTCACTGACCAGCGGACGGGCCAAGATCCTCAGAGTCCTCTTTTTCACAGTGATTACGTCATTGGGGGCTCCCCCTGCCTGAAGATCCAAATTCACAGTCACCGGGAGGTCTGGCACTCTTGCCCGCCCCGGACATGGGCCACGATGGCAGGAATGGACAGCAGCGGATGGCCCCTCCCTCGGCCCTGGCTCCGTGATCTGCAACCACGGAATCGTGGGGGTGCTTCCCAGGGTGCTCCCGGCCTCAGTTTCTCACGAGCTGCCAGGTCCAGTTTGTGCTGGGCATCAGGTCAGGGCCAGGTTCTCATGGTCACTGCCTGGGTTCCTGGATACCACACGAAGAATCTGGAGAGCAGGCTCAGGGCAGTGCCCAGAGGAACAGGCGCGGAGATGGGCCAACACAGGACCTCGGCCAGTCCCGGCCCACTTAGGGCCTGCTTAGCCCTGCCCAGGGTCCCACATAGCTCCTCCCATTCGCCCTAGCCTCGCCCAGGGCTCCACTTAGCTCCGCCCAGTCACCCTAGCCCCGCCCAGGCTCACCTAGCTCTGCTCAGTCCCCCTAGCCCATTCACCATGTTGGGGCGGAGGTGCCTCCAGGATCCTGGCAGCAGCCCTGCAGACGCCACTGACCTGGCTAGTTCTAGCACATTGTGCCTTGCGCCTGCTAAGGGGCAGAGCAGGGACTCCAGGGCTGACTCTGTTTGTCCGCAGTGGCCAGAAGGCAGGTGGGAAGTGGAGAAGGGGCACCCAAGTCAAGCCTGAGCCTCAGGCACCAAATAAAGGGAATCTGGGACCTATTCATAAAAAGCAAAGGGTGAGGCCAGAGCGATAGGACAGCAGGAGGGCGCTGGTCCTGCACACAGCTGACCTGGGCTCAGTCCCCGGCACCACATATGGTCCCCCGAGCCTGCCAGGAGTGACTCCTGAGCACAGAACTAGGAGCACTGCAAAAAAGCAAAAGGAGGGTCATGTGACAGTCTCAGGCACAGAGCTTGCCCCAGGCACCCAAGTGGCTTTGGGAGTGAGGAGGGGGCCTGGAGCAGTCAGAGCCCTGAGCTCCCCACCACCACCACCACCAGAGGGAGGCTGGCCCTGACCAGCCACAGTTGGCCTGGGGTCGCTTGGGTGCTGATGGCGGGAACCCAACCCTCCTGATACCCTGTCCACAAGAGACCGTGAGGTTCCCCTGGGGACTAATGGGACGGCGCTGGGTGGGGCTCTGGACTCTGCCTGCTCTCCTGCAGTGACCATCAGTGTGTGCTTGTTCCCTGGGCCTGCTGCTGGTTTCAGGGCAAGGACAGGCTTCAGGGTCCAGCATCATGTCACAACCTGTCCCAGCTGATGGCCCCAGTGCCCACAGGCCATGCCTGGATTCTGGTTAGCAGGCAATACCTCACAGTCTCCATGTGTGTGCATGGTGAGTGTGTATCTGTGTGCAAAGAACCCATGTGTGCAGAGACCTTGCATGTGCAGACTCGTGTGTGCAGAGACCTTGCATGTACAGACTTATGTATTCAGAGACCCCATGTGTGCAGAGACCCCATGTGTGCAGACTGCGAATGTGTAGAGGCTCATATATGCAGAGACCGCGTGTGTGCCAGACCCATGTGTGCAGAGAAACCCCACGTGTGTGCAGAGACTCATGTTTGCAGAGACCATATGTATGCAGACCCATGTGTGCAGAGAGGCCGCGTGTGTGCAGAGACCTTGTGTGTGCAGAGACCCATGTGTGCAGAGAGACCCCGCATGTGCAGAAACCCATATGTGCAGAGACCTCGCGTGTGCTGAGATCTTGGGTGTGCAGACTTCACATGTGCAGAGACTATGCATATGCCCGTGTGTGCAGAGACCCTACACGTGCACAGAGATTTAGTGTGTGTACAGATACCCTGCATTGCAGAGAGACTCCACATGTGCAGGACTCTGATACACTGGGAGCACTGGGTACTGGGAACACTGAACGCTGGGCAGCAGGGTGACCTGCTCACATGTCCCTCTGCAGTGCTCAGGTTCCGGAGGCCTGTTGGAGGCAGGTGGCTGCAGTGACCCAGGACTGTTCTGGCGCAGAGCTGGGGGAAGGCAGCCTTCATGCCAGCTCCTGGAGTCAGTGCATGGACCATGTCCTTTCCTTCGAGTTCTGCTGACCCAAGGTAGACAGGGATAAGTTCCCACAGCAAGGGCAGGTCCTGGGAGTGAGCCACCTGTCTCACCGTCTTCCCTAGTTCTTGGCTGAATCCAGTCCCTGCCAGCACCAGGACGGAGCTGGGAGGCGCAAGAGGGCCTGTGTCCACAAGGTGGCAGCAGAGGTCATACAAGGGGTGCAGATGCTAGGCCGCAGTGCTGGGCCTTACCTCTGTGCCTCACCCCCTCACCGTTGGGGGCTCCAGCCCTGACGACCCAATTCCTGCTGGGACAGAACAACAAAAGTGCGTGTTTGGGGCCAGAGCGATAGCACAGCGGGTAGGGTAGGGCGTTTGCTTTGCACGTGGCCGACCTGGGTTCGATCCCTTGCATCCCATATGGTCCCCCAAGCACCTCCAGGAGTAATTCCTGAACGCAGAGCCAGGAGTAACCCCTGAGCATCGCTTTGTGTGACTCAAAAAGCCAAAAAAAAAAAATTAAAAAAGTGTGTTTTTGCCATCACGAAGCTGCAGGTGCCTGGTGATGTCGATGGGTGATGGGGGTGAGTGGAACAGACCAGGGAGGAAGCCCGCACAAACCCAGGGCAGTGTGGGGTGGAGAGGACAGCTGTGGGCATGGTAGAGGCCACAAGGTTGGAGAGGGATGAGTGCAGGACAGGCCTGGGCTTCTGCAACCAATACGAGGCGGGCAGACCCTTCCCTGAGAAGGGCAGGATGACGTTTGAGGCTGGCATGGAAGAAGGGCTGGGGAGTGGCAGTGCAGGGGCTGGGCTCACTGCTGAAGTGGGCAGAGACCCAGGCGCTGAAGAGCTGCTCTCAGCAGCAGGTGTGGGCGGTGCCACAGGGAGGAGCAAGGGATCAAGGAAAGGAGCTGGGCAGAAACCAGAGACCAGCACAACAGCACGCATTTGTGGGCTTATGGCTCAGGGATTCAGAGTCTATCCCCTGCCGTGCACCAGGGGCCCTGCTTCGGCCCCCCACCCCTCACCCCCTCTCCCTGCCCCCTGGATCTTTCCGAGCACACAAGGGCCTGCACATCCACAGGTCTGGCTGCCCTGAGAGGAGGAGGACCATATGACAGTTGCAGGGCTAAGGAGTGAAGATCCTCAGGGCAATGTTCAGTCAGTCATAGTCTGTGGGCCCCCCCACCCCCGGGTTCACCTTTGTCTCGTGTGCAAAGTATAGCCACCCACCCCAGGGTTCCTCAGAATCTCAGCTCCAGTCCAAGGCCTGGGTTTGGACGCTCTGAGCCTTGGAGCTGCCAGAGCCAGAAGAAGACGCTTCTCGCGGGACCCAGCGTTTCCCTGTGCCGCGGGGTTCACTGTCCCTCCTTCCACTGGAAGCTCCGTCAAAGGTCCCCCGCCAGCCTGCCTCACAGACTGGGGCGGGGGGCGGGGGGGGCTGTGTGCCTGGGGAGGAAAAAGGTCCAAGTGTCCCAAGTGTCCTGGCTGACCAACCCAGCCTGCACCCCTATGCCCCGCCCCTCTCCTTCATGGCCCCGCCCTCGCCGCGAAGGCCCCGCCCCTCACAGAGACCACACCCGCAAATATTTAGACCACGCCCACCACGCCCATCGCTATAGGCTCCTCCCCCGCCCCATCCTCAACTGGCGGCCCCGCCCACAGCCCACCCAGCCTCCCGCCTCTCTCAGGCCTTGTCCACTTCCCTCCACTGACTGAGGCTCTGAGACTTTCCCAGCCCACAGGCGGCGTCGCCCCCCCTCCCCCGCCTCAGCAGGTCAGCGCAGCCCAGCCCGCGACCCCGCCTCTCCCTCCGGAGGCCACGCCCACTCCCGAGCCCCGCCCATCCCTGCCGGCGCCCAGCTGCCATAGAGACGCCGAGTCCTCCGGCAGCCTAGACCGCCCCGGAAGAGATTGGGGAAGGTGGAGAGGCGCGGGCCGGCGAAGGGCAGAGAGGGGGCACTTCCGGTCTCTGGCGGTTCCTGGACTCCGCAGGTGAGTGCTGTCCAGCGCGGGGACGTGGGGCTCGCCGACGCCCGCCCTGAGTCCGCCGGACCTTCGGGGGCCCCGCTCCCTCCGCGCCGCCTGCAGGGTGCACGCTCCCCGGGACCCCGCGAGCCCCCGTCCCCGCATCACCCCGGGGCCCCACCCCCTGTCCAGGCGGCCTCCTGCATCCTGCCTCGGGCCCTCCTCCCTGCGCAGGTTAGGACGGAGGTGCGGGCGCCGCCCCCTCCTCCTCAGTCCGCCCCTTTCCGCCTCCCGAGTTTTGCCAGCAGAACCACGCGACCCCGTGCTCAGTGCTGCTCCTCGGAGTCAGGGCCGCTTCCCCCCCCCCCCCCCCCCCCGCACTTCTACAGAGGTTTCGGTGGATCTGGCTTTTGCCCTCCCGTGCCCGCAGGTCCCCCAGGTGTGTAGCCGCCCCCCCCCCACGCACACACCTGCATCCCAGGGGGTACCCAGAGCTGGCTGGGGACAGACCCCTGCCTTTATGGGGGACCTTCCTTCCTCCTGCTCCGGGTTTCACAGTCCTGGGCGAGCCGGTGAGGACCCAGGCAGGCGGCTGGGCGCAGGGTTAAAGCCCAGGCTGATGCGGGGGCCCACTGCCCGGTGTCTAGCTCTGGGCTGTCCCTGCACCCCCCAGGCCCGCCCCACACCCAGGGCATGGGGGCTGAGTCAGAAGGTCCGACTGGTGGGGAGGCGAACTGTGGGGATAGGAGGTGCATGTAGTCACTTGAGCCAGTGAGTTTGTCCTTCCGTCTGCCCGAAAGGGTCGCACAGACATGCTCTGGCTGTGGTCTGGCCCAGTACCCAGCACGTGCTGGTGACTTGTTTTTTCTCCATTCTGCTTCCCAGGTCTGGGCCCATTATGTGTTGGGGCCAGCTCTGTGGTCTGCGGAGGACACGCTGCCACCAGCTCATCCCCTTGCCAGCAGCCAGCGCCCGCGAGAGCCGGATGCCCGGGCTTGTGGGGGGCAGAGGCTACCAGCCTTGACCCGGGGCTTGCACCGGCCTGGGGCAGTCTGGGCGGGGAGGCAGTAAGGCCAGCCTGGAGCGGCCAGGACCCGCCTTCCTCCCCATGGCCTCCAAGCCGGCTGCCGCCAGGGGCCCCGGGGAGAAGAGGAAGCGTGTGGTGCTGACTCTGCGGGAGAAGATCGACATCTGCACGCGGCTGGAGCGCGGCGAGAGCAGGAAGGCGCTGATGCAGGAGTACAACGTGGGCATGTCCACCCTGTACGACATCCGCGCCCACAAAGCCCAACTCCTGCGCTTCTTTGCCAGCTCGGACTCCAACTCGGCGCTGGAGCGTCGGCGCACGCTGCACACACCTAAGCTCGAGCACCTGGACCGCGTGCTGTACGAGTGGTTCCTGGGCCGGCGGGCCGAGGGCGTGCCCGTGTCAGGGCCCATGCTCATCGAGAAGGCCCGCGACTTGTACGAGCAGATGGGGCTCACCGAGCCCTGCGTCTTCTCGGGCGGCTGGCTGTGGCGTTTCAAGGCCAGGCACGGCATCCGGAAGCTGGACGCGGCGGCCGAGCAGCAGGGCACTGAGCAGCAGGCGACCGAGTTCTGCGGCTTCTTCCGGAGCCTGGCGTCCGAGCACGGCCTGTCCCCCGAGCAGGTCTACAACGCTGATGAGACCGGCCTGTTCTGGCGGTGCCTGCCGAGTGCCACGGCTGCCGCAGCTGAGGCCATGCCAGGCCTCAGGCAGAGCAAGGACAGGCTGACGGTCCTCGCATGTGCCAATGCCACGGGCTCCCACAAAATCAGGCCCCTGGTGATCGGGAAGTGCAGCGGGGCCCCAGCTCTCAAGGCCCCCCAGCAGCTGCCGGTGGCCTACCGGGCCCAGGGGAACGTGTGGGTAGACCAGGAGGTCTTCTCAGACTGGTTCCACCACATCTTCGTCCCCTCGGTGAAGGAGCACTTCAGCGCCGTGGGCTTTCCCGCCGACAGCAAGGCCGTCCTGCTGCTGGTCAGCTCTCGGGCCCACCCCCAGGAGGCCGAGCTGGCCTCCGACAACATCTTCACCGTCCTGCTGCCGGCCAGCGTGGCCGCTCTCGTCCAGCCCATGGACCAGGGCATCCGCAGGGACTTCCTGCGGCGCTTCATCAGCCCCGCGGCCACACCACCCGGCGCCCGCCCTCGCTGCGCCCTGCACGAGGCCATCCTCCGAGTGGCCTGCGCCTGGGACGCGGTGCCCTGCGACGTCTTCAGCCGGGCCTGGAAGAAGCTGTGGCCTGCGGTGGCCGAGGGCTCGTCCTCCAAGGAGGAGGCTGAGCGCAGCCGGGTGGGCCAGAACCAGACCTTTGCCCACATCATGGAGCTGGTGCAGGACCCCCCTGCCCAGGCTGGCCGGCCACCCCTGGGTGTGACTGGCGGGCAGAAGGGCCAGGGTCGAGAGGCAGCAGAGCGGCCCCCCTCGCCTGCAGACCCGGCCCAGGCTGAGGGGGCCGGGGAGGAGGCGGCCTGGGTGCGGGCGGCCGAGTCCTTCGCCGTGGTGGTGGCCTTCGCAGAGCAGCACCCCTGCTTCTCGGCGCATGAGCTGGACCAGCTGCGGGCGCTGCACTCTGTATTTGCCAGGCAGCAGCTGGCGCGGGGACACCTGGCACTTCGGGCCGTGGTCAAGCTGGAGGCCCCCCGGGAGTGCTCCCCACTGCCCTGCTCGTCCACGGCCGGGCCCTGAGGGGAGGGCCCCACCCAACCGCAACCCCAGTCTCACTGTGGCAGGCAGAGAAAGGTCCGCCTTGGGCAGTGCCCAAGGCAGAGATGGCCCGAGTCAGCATGTCCCGTGTCTCCGTCCACCGACGGCACTCGGCAGCTTTGGTGCCGTGGTCTCTACACTGGCCAGCCCCAGAGCCCATGCCGGGAGTGGGGCCAGGTCAGCGGCACTGCCCGGGCAGGGCTCTGCACACAGTGGCTCGAGCTCATCGGCCGGGGCTGCTCTGTGCCCCGAGGGCCCCGTCCCCACCCCCCAGCACTGCTGACGTGGGTACGTGCCTCCTTGGCCTGGCTTTGGTCTGCCTCCGATTCCATCCGGACGGCTCTCCCAGCTGCTGGGAGCCCAGCTCGGCCACAGCTGAGACTTGCCTCCCTGCAGCCCCAGAGGCCTGGGGCTTCCTGTGCTGGGCCCCGGGGCCAGACTCCAGGGCATGGGAGTGGGAAGGAAGCTCTGGGGACGTGCAGAAGACCGGGCTTCCCAGCTCTGCCCTTGGGACCCCTTTTCTGGCACCCCTGCACCCCCGTGGGGCCACACGCAGACGCCTACCACCACACCCACTGTCTGCCCTTCAAAGTAGTCGCTGTGGGCAGCCCCGGTGGAGCTGGACTCGACCCTTAGCCACCCTTGCACAGGGGCTGCCTGGCCTGGCCTGCCCCAGGGAACTGTGGGCTCCAGGGAGACCCTAAAAGGACTCAGCCGTGCCCCCTGCATCCCCTACACCTTCCAGGCCCCACCCTGGCCCCGCCTATACCCTCTCAGGCCCGCTCTTCCCTGCACACAGGCCTGGATGTCAGAGTCCAGCCCATACCTCTATCCTGCTAGCCAGGACAGCGAGGTCCTCGTGGGTGGTGCTGGGTCACCTTTGCAGCGAAGCCTCCTGGTGGGGCCCTGTCCTCGGGGGTCCGGTCATCAAGTTCTTGGGCAGCACGTGGCTATGGTGGATGGCCTCCTGCGGGCTTTGGGGGGTGGCAGGGGCCGCAGGAACGGGGCCAGGGCCAGGCAGGAAACAATAAGAAAAGTTTGTTATGCAAATGTGAGTACGTCTGTCTGTCCACCCATCTGAAGCCTAGGGTGCCTGCGACCCCAGCTCACTGGCCAGTTCAGTTCCCCAACTGGCTTTTCACCTTGTGGCTGTGACCCGTGTGATGGGAGGACAAGCAGATGAGGGCGATACTGATGCCCCATCATGCCGTGGACACGGAGCTGGGCCCGAGGAGGAAGGGCAGATGGAGCCCCCCCGGCTGCCAGCCCCACTGGGCAGCTGGCTAGGGACACCATGGGGGCAGGAGCCACAGGCTTCTGGGGACTTGGAAGCCGAGGGTCGTAGACTGAGGTGCCCCTGCAGGGTGGGGCACTGCTCCCTCCCCATGCCCACAGGGGCCCCTCAGCCCTCCACCACAGACCCACTCCACTTGTCTAGTGACCCCCTTTGCCCTTTCCAAAGGGCAATGAGTTTTAGCTGAGCTGCATCCAGGGGCTGTGCAAACTGCTTCTCTGCTCTCGCTCCGCAACACTTGTCCACCCACCTTGGTCCATCCCTCTCTTCACCCACCTTCATATACCCACCCTCCTACATAGCCCTCTGTTCACCCACCCTTCGTTGCCACACCTCATCAGTCATAGCCCCCCACGACACTGTCTAACACGCCACCACCCATATTCACCCATCCACTCATCCATCCACTCCCTCCACCCATATATCCATCCGTCCTTCTGCCCATCTGTCCATCCATCCATTTATGCACCCACCCACCTGTCCGCTCCTTTTCTCAGCGCCGGTGAGCAGGCTCTGGTCTGCTTCTCTGCTAGATTAGCTCCCCCTCGTTTGGGGGAATGGCTGGGGTCCATTAGAGAGACCTGCTGGCAGCCAGAGGCTGTACTGCAACCTCCAGCCTGCCATGGACGCCTGCCCCTTTGTGCCCACCTGGGCCCCAGGAGACGAAGCCCAAGGGAACCTGAGTGGACACTGGGCACGCTCGCACACAGGGAACAAGCTGGCCACCCTGACCTCCCCCTGCTGAGGTGCTCTGTGTGCCTGGCCACTACCCCCGTGTGATCTCAGCCACCAGACCTGCTTCTCAGCGTGACTTGGCGTGTGAAGTTTAGACTCTGGGGACCCAGGAGCACCCCAGAGCCTAGTGGCCTGCAGGCTGAGCCACGTCTCCCTCTGCTGTGCCCCCTTAGGGTCACCCGCACAGGGAGGAGGGCATCCCCACCCCAAAAGCACCTCAGTGCAGAGGGAGGAGGGCGGGAAGGAACTGCTTGTCTGTTGGGGGGGGGGTAATGCTGTGTCTGATTGCAGCCCTCAGGCCTTCGGACATGGCCTCCCCCCACCCCTGCCGTCCTGCTGGGGCCTGTCCAGGCCCTGCATGCTAGGAGGACACCCCACCCTTTCAGGGTGCGGGACCCGGGGGTCGCAGCATTGGGGGGCAGATGAAGGAGGGAGAGAGAATGTGGGGAGTGAAGAGGAAGGGTGGAGGGAGGGAGGAGAGCATCACTTCAGGTTCCTGGACCCAGCCCGGAGGCAGTGGCCGGGTTTCCTGACGAAGGCTCCTCAGCTGCTGAGTGGCTGCTGAGTACAGCCCCCCAACAGCGAGCGAGGAGTGGGGAACAGGTAGTGGCAGGGACCAGCAGCTGGGCTTGCAGGTCTGTCCTGGGGTCAGGGCTGGGCTACCTGCCCCTCCCCCACCGTCTTCTTGCAGCCTCATCGTGTCCCCCTGGCCTCTGACCCCTGACGCCTCTGCCATGTTGACCTATCCTCGGGGACAGTAGGGAGATCCACTCACCACCGGGGGTGGGGGTGGATGTGAGCCCAGGAGGAAGCCAGCGAGACCCTCGGTTGGCTGCAGGGACATGAGGCATGGCCACGGGCAGGGGCCTAGTTTTGACCACAGTGGCTGGTGACGATGGTAACAGTGATGGAGGTGGTGAGGTGAGTGATGCTGACGGGGATGATGGTGAGGATGGTGGTGATGTTCGACGAGTGTGGTGGTGACAAGGGTGACGGTGATGATGAGGGTGTGATGGTGATGATGAACGGTTGCTAATCATGGTGGTCAGGACGGGAGGGCTGCGGATCTTGGTGTCCTACCAGATTGTGCCTGTGGTTTTTGGTTTGGGTGCAGAAGGTGCTCATGCTGCCTGTGTCAGTGCCAGGTTCGGTGCCGTGGCATCCTACGGGGCCTGGACTCTCTTCTTGTGGGGCACTGACCATCAGTGTCTGGCTCTGCCCAGCTGTGGACTGGGGGACCCTTCTGTCTCCTGTGGGCTCAGGGGCCAGGCCGAGCAGGGGACAGGGATGACAAAGGTCACAGTCAGAGGGGCAGCAGCCGAGAAGGGCAGTGTCAGGCGGCTGCTGTGTTCTTTGGAGGGACAGGGGCCTTCTGGAGCCTCCTGGAGCCTTCCATCCCTCCTCTCCTGGGTCTACCCAACCAGGCCTCCACCAGCACCCTGACGGGCTCCCGGGGTCCAGTCCGGGGGTGTCTGGCTGGGATGGCAGAGGGGAGATGTGAGGAGCTGGAGCTTGGGGGCTCGGGCACACAGTGCTCCCCCTGGGAGAGCCCTGCCCATGACTTCCTTCCTGGAGGTAGGGTGACTGTAGCCTGGCTTCCTGGGTGTGGGGGCACCCCATCGCATTGGCAGGGGATATGGGCTCCCCTGACCATGCCAGGGCCCAGGTCGCCTTAGACCCTGTGCCAGGCACAGCCAGGCATGGTCTCTGCCTTGGGGCTGCCAGGCGGGCCACACAAGACAATAACCTCTGATGCCAGCTGTTTGGAGCTGTCTAGGAGACGCATCAGAGAATTGGGGTGGCTTTGGAGGGCACCCAGAGTCTTGGCAGACAAAAGGCTCCTCAGGGCCTGGAGAGGCCCCAGCACCCCACCAGCCAGAGAGGCCACGTGACATTGAGGCTGTGTGGGAGGGAGGGGGAGAGGGAGGAGACAGCCTCAGTGACCCCAGTGTCCACACAGCTGGCTTGCAGGGGCAGGTTGAAACCAGGATGGAGACTACAGAGAGGGAGGTGAGGGTGGAGGTGAGGACGAGGTGTGGGAGATGGGGAAGGGGTGCGGGAGGCGGAGATGGGGTGTGGGAGGGAGGACGGGGTGTAGGAGGTGGGGACGGGGTAAGGGAGTAGGACAGGTGGTGGGTGGTCATGGCTGCAGTGGCGGGATGCGGTCTCTGTAGAATTGAGCCCAGGTCCCCTGAGTTCCTCCTGCCCCCGCCCCGCCGCCCCCAGCTTCTGCCCCTCTGCTTGGAGGCGGGGACCACCCTGGGCTCCGGCCTTTCCGCACATCAGCCCCGCCCAGTGCGCTGACCAGCCTCTAGCTGCCAGTCTGGGGCCCTTTGCTCTTGGCCCTCCTGTGGCTGGGTGGGGCACCCTTGGGTGGCAGCTCCTGTTATGGCACTGGGGTGCAGGGCTGCCTGAGGCATCCCTCTAGCCCGGGGGTGAGGGTGCTGGGGCTCACCTGTCCAAGGAGGCCGGGAGGGCTCAGCCTCGGGGACCAAGAACCCTCTCTGCACCCAGCACCGCAGCCCAGAGCTGTCCAGGTGTCCACTGCGCCCAGGCTGTGGGGACTGACCCGGTTCAGGAGCTGCCGCAGGACTGGGGGTGGGGCGCTCTCCGTGCCTGCCCCCTCCCCATCGCGGGCGGGAGGGGGGTCGAGCAAGGGGCATCCCCTTTCTGCCCTGCCGGTGGGGTGGGTGGGGGGTGCTGGGAGCGCGACGGAAGCGCCCATCACTTGCGGCGCCGCCCTCCCGAGACCCAGCCTGCGCGTGCCCGGTGGAGGTGGCGGCTGGCGTGGCGCCGTGCGTGGGGAGCTCCTCCGCGTCACGCAGCTATTCTCAGCGCAGCGCCTTCTCTCCTTATATGGCCGCGGAAGCGCCTGCCGGATGCGAATGGGGTCGGAACAGCAGGGGCCGCCCTCTCCCTGGAGCACGGCCAGATGTCCGGCCAGGGGAGACCCCACCAGTGGCGGCGGGACAGGGACAGTCGCGACAGGGGCCCACACTCCCCAGGGCCGGGGGTCCCGGGGTAGGGGAGGGACAGTCACCCAGGCCACTCAGCAGCAGACACCCGGGCTGCGGGGGGGGGGGGGTAGGGGGGTGGGGGGGGGGAACATGCCCAGAAGGACATGCGGGGGGACATGCAGATGGGGACATGCGGGGAGAACATGTGGGGGGGACATGTGGATGGGATATGTGGGGGGACATGCGGGAGGACACGCGGGGTGCCACATGAGGAGGGCATGCTGGGGGGAGTCTGTGGGGCTTATGGGGAGCCGCTCCTGGCCCAGCCCGTGAGAATAGAACCTCTATCACCCCTACTCCCAGCTCACCTGCCCTGCCCACACCCCGCGCCAGGTCCCCACCTTGACCAGTGGACGCTCCCGGAGGTTCCGTTACTTCCGTCCAGAGCAAGGCTGGGAGTGACTCAGGGGTGAGCAGGACGGCACAGTGGGCATGCCCACGGCCCCCTGAGGGCTCCCAGGAGGAGGCACACCCAGAGGCAGAGGCTCCAGGCTCTGGTCAGTAGCGGCTGGCGCACGGGTGCTGTGGCGAGACCAAGGGGTGTGGGCTCACAGGCAGTGTTCCCACCGGGGCGCAAGCTCACAGGTCAGTGCTCCCGCCTGGTGTGGGCTCACAAGTCAGTGCTCTGCCCCTGGAGCTGAGCCCTGCTGCCCGAGAGAGGACACAGCAGGGCCAGGCTATCCCGAGAGACTGGGTGTGGCTGCTCCCCCATCCATCTGTCCACCAGTGAGGCCACTCACTGCCCACTCGAGCCAGCCCGACACTCGGCCCTTCCCCTGTGAGGACTCGGGGAACTGGTCCAGCCAGTCCAGGGTGCCCCCCTCAGCAGCCTGACTGCCCACAGGGTCAGCCCTGCAGCCTGTGTGGGATGTGTGTCCACCCCTGGGCACCCCAAGACCTGGACACACCTGGAGCTGAGCAGGGGGCCTGTGGGGGGGGGGGGTTCTGGACCTGCAGGGACAGCCTGGCCAGGCTCCTTGGTTATCTCAGCCCGTGGACGGTCCTCTTGGGGCGGGGCGCTGAGTCTGCAGGACCAGGCGCGCTGGAAAAATACAAACCTTCCTGGGAGGCTGTGCTGGAGGCAGGCGGCAGGAAGGAGGGGTCTGGCATGGGGGCCCCCCCACCCCGGAAGGAACAGGCTGCAGCTCCAGCCACACCCCCTCACCAAACCGAGGGAAGAGGAAGGAGGGAGGGGGGAGCACAGAGAAAATGTTCCAGCAGTTCCGGGGCTCTGAGCTCCCCGGGCCAGCCTGCGCCCACAGTAGGAGTGCCCCCGGGTCCTGGCCTCTCTCAGAGTCTCCACCAGGCTCTCCCTTGCCCCTCCCTGCGGCCATCCCCGCCTCCCACTCAGCTCTGCCCACAGGTCCCCAGGCTGCCCTAAACCCACTCAGGAGCGGGTGGGGCCTGCGGGTACCACTCCAACCCCGTGCCACCTTGAGGTCAGGGGCTGTTCCTGTGCGCCCAGGGATCCCTGACCAGGCCCAGAGACCCTGGGAGGGAAGGGGTCCGGGAGCCCTGAGAGCTGAGGGGGCACATCATGGCGCGCCTCCCCTCTCCGTGGCCTCGAGACAGGGGACAAGCCAGGGCGCGGGGGAGAGGAGGAAGCTTCCGGACCCACGACCCAGCCAGGGCTGAGCAGGAGGGCGGGAGGAGCCGGAGAGGGGCTGCCCCGCTTTCCCCAGCAGGACAGAGCATAGGGCAGCTGTGTGTGCATGTAAGCATGTATGACACAGGTGCAGGTACATGCGTGCCTGTGTCTGTGTGCATTGTGACATGTATCCACACACACATGCAGGTGGGGACTGTCATGTGTGCATGCATGCATGTGCATGTATGCATGCATGTAAGCATATGTGCACAGGTGCATGGATGCAGGAGGGGGCATGTGTATGAGGGGCTGAGAGGGCTTAGATGTCCCCAGGAGGGAGTCTCAGGAGGGGCTCTTTGGGCCCTGCAGAGGGACAGCTCAGTGGAGAGCAGAGAGTGGACTCCAAGACAGGGGACCACCAGGAAACTGGAGACTGAATCGGGGAGGGATGAGGGTGCCAGTGCAGGACAGAGCAGGCCTGGCAGCTTGGCCTGGGGGTCCCCAGCCCGCCCCCTCGCCAGGCTGGCCCTGTGCAGCGGGCTCTGGAGCGCCAGCCTCCACTCGGGGGCGGGAGGCGAGTGCCCGAGGCCGCAATGCGGGGGCTCCTCCGGGGCCTCTGGAGCGATAATTGGGCAGCGATTAAGTGTTCCAAGCTTCCAGCGGGCCACACGGCGGCCGCCTCCGCCCCCTCTCCCCACCCCAGAGGCCCTGGCCGGCTGGCTGGATGTGGGGCTGCGGGCGACCCCCTGCTCCCCGCCCTGCTCTAGGGAAAGCCCTCCGGGATCCCGGATCCCTGCCGGCTTCTCCTCTCCGCAGCCCCCTCCCCTACCCGCCCACTTGCCTGGAATTAGAAACGCTGGGAGAGCTTTGGGGGGTTGGTGCCAGAAACAAACTGCACCCCCCACCCCCGGAATCCCAGAATGAGAACCAGGCGGGCTGGCCTGGGGGGTGGGTCCCGAAGGCAGGAGGGGTCCTGTGGGGCCCAGAGGAGGGGAGCGGAGTGTTCCCCAGCAAGTGGGGGGAATGACCGTTTCGGGGGGCTGGATAGAGGAATGAGTGTACCACGGCTGAGTGGGGGCTGAGAAAGTCAGGCTGAGTAGGGGGCTGAGTGTACCAGGGGCTGAGTAGGGGGGGATGAGTGTTCCAGGCGCTGAGTGGGGGGCTGAGAATGTCAGGGGCTGAGTAGGGGGGAATGAGTGTTCCAGGGGCTGAGTAGGGGGGGATGTGAGTGTTTCAGGCGCTGAGTGGGGGGTGTGAGCATGTGGAGGGCGGGGTGGCCGTGGGAGCTGACCCAGGGCACGGTGGCCTGGCGGCAGGGGCTGCGGCACTCCCAAGGGCGTCCTGCCTCCCCTGCTGCTGTTGCCAGGGAGGCAGGAGGGGCCTCCCGGGGAGTCTCGGCTTCCGGAGCCCCGATTCCTTATAAGGCGCTGGCGGGGTATCACCCTCCCTCCTCCCTCCCGCTCCCTCCTTCCTCCTTCCTCCTTCCTCCTTCCTCCCGCTCCCTCCTCCCTCCTGGCCCCCTCCTCCCTCCCTCCAGGTCTGCCCCCTCCCCCGGACCCCGTGCCCCTTCCCTGCTCCCGCTATCCGCTCTCCCCCCTGCCCCCCTTCCTCTCGAGCCTGGGTCCTTCCTCCCAGGTTCCTACCCTGTCCTGGGGGTCAGGGTCCAGTAGCATTCCCGGGGCTGAAAGGTCTCGGCCCTCCCCTCTTCCCTGCCCCTTTCGATGGGGAGCGGAGGTGGGGTGGGGGTGGGGGGCTGGGGCAGTGCCACCTCAAATCCAGTGCGAGATGATGGGAACAGGGGCTTGGCGGGGGGGTGGGGGGGGCGTGGGGTCCGCGCGTGCACGCCCGTGCACCGTGCAAGGCTGTCCCTGCGGGCGCGGGCGGGCGGAGAGGGCTCGGGGGTCCGGAGCCCGGCTCGGAGGCTGGCACTGCGGGCGCTGGCGGGCAGGGGGGCCTCGAGGGGTCCGGAGCCCGGCTCGGAGGCTGCCACTGCGGGCGCGGGCGGGCGGAGGGGGCTCGGGGCCCAGCCCGGGTCGCGGGAAGCCCACCTGCTCGGGCGCCCGCGCACGCACCTGCGCTCCCCTGCCGGGCCGGGCCTGCGCTGGGGGTGGTCGCCGTCCCTGGGGTCCCGCAGGCCGAGTTGAGCCCGGAGGGGGCGGCGCGGGCCGAGCGCGTTAGTCACGGTGCGCGCGGGCCCGGGTCGGCGGCGGCGGCGCCGGCGGGGCGGGGCCGGGAGGGGCGGGGCCGGGAGGGGGCGGAGCCTGAGCGGGGGCGGCCAATGGGAGCCGCGCCCGGCGGGGGCCGCCCACGGGCTGCGCCGGCTGCATAAAGAGCCGCGGCGCGGACTCGGCGCAGAGCAGCGAGCTCGTCCTCCAGCATCGCCGGGCGAGACCGCGCCAGCCGCCAGCCGCCAGCCGCGCCCGGGCCGGAGCCCAGCCTAGTCTAGCCGCCCGCCGGGACCCCCTCGCCTCGCCCGCCATCCCCCGGGCCGGAGCCCAGCCCAGCCTAGCCTAGCCTCCCGCCGGGACCCCCTCGCCTCGCCCGCCGCCTCCCGTGCACCCATGGAGCTGGACCGCATGACCAGCGGCGGCCTCCACGCATACCCCGGGCTGCGGGGCGGGCCGGCCGCCAAGCCCAACGTGATCCTGCAGATCGGCAAGTGCCGCGCCGAGATGCTGGAGCACGTGCGCCGGACCCACCGCCACCTGCTGACCGAGGTGTCCAAGCAGGTGGAGCGCGAGCTCAAGGGGCTGCACCGCTCCGTGGGCAAGCTGGAGAACAACCTGGACGGTTACGTGCCCACCGGCGACTCGCAGCGCTGGAAAAAGTCCATCAAAGCCTGCCTGAGCCGCTGCCAGGAGACCATCGCCAACCTGGAGCGCTGGGTCAAGCGCGAGATCCACGTGTGGAGGGAGGTCTTCTACCGGCTGGAGCGCTGGGCCGACCGCCTGGAGGCCGGGGGCGGCAAGTACCCAGTGGGCAGCGAGGCTGCCCACCCCTCGGTGTCTGTGGGCGTGGGGGGTCCCGAGGGCTACTGCCACGGCGCCTACGATTACACCGTCAGCCCCTACGCCATCACCCCGCCGCCCACCGGGCAGCTGCCGGGCCAGGAGCAGGAGGACGAAGAGCAGTGGGGCCCCGGGGAGGACGGGCAGCTGAGCCCTGGCGTGGACACGCAGATCTTTGAGGACCCGCGGGAGTTCCTCAGCCACCTGGAGGAGTACCTGCGGCAGGTGGGCGGCTCCGAGGAGTACTGGCTGTCCCAGATCCAGAACCACATGAACGGACCAGCCAAGAAGTGGTGGGAATTCAAGCAGGGCTCGGTGAAGAACTGGGTGGAGTTCAAGAAGGAGTTCCTGCAGTACAGCGAGGGCACACTGTCCCGCGAGGCCATCCAGCGCCAGCTGGACCTGCCGCAGAAGCAGGGCGAGCCGCTGGACCAGTTCCTGTGGCGCAAGCGCGACCTGTACCAGACGCTGCACGTGGACGCCGAGGAGGAGGAGATCATCCAGTACGTGGTGGGCACACTGCAGCCCAAGCTCAAGCGCTTCCTCCGCCACCCGCTGCCCAAGACGCTGGAGCAGCTAATCCAGAGGGGCATGGAGGTGCAGGACGGGCTAGAGCAGGCGGCCGAGACCCCCGAGGATGAGGCGGACGCGGACGCAGACGCCCTCACGCCAGCCCTCACCAGCGACTCCGTGGCCAGCGACCGGACCCAGCCCGAGTAAGGGGCAGCGGGGCCCGGCCGATCCACCACAGTCCACCGTGGCCTTTTCCAAGCAGGACTTTTGAGCTGGGCTGACTCCTGCTCATCCACCTCAGCATACCCCAACCCACGCGCGCACACACAGACACACACACACACACACACACACACACCTCAGGCAGACGGGAGCTGCCCCCACACCCTCCTACACCCCTGACCCTGCCCACCTGTTTGCCTTCCGGGGCCAGCAACTCACCCTCATTCAGGCCACACCAGCAACCCCCCCATCAGCCACCTGTGCCAGGACCTCTGGGCACCCGGAAACCCAGGGTCCATATGACACGGGCCAGCAGGCACCCCACACTCCTGGTACACCGCAGAGCAGAGCCGAGGCAGAAATAGCGCCACGGGAACCTCGCTTCCGGCTGCTGCCCTCGCCCGCAGTCGTCGCCGAGCGGCTGGCATCCTTGCCGCCGCCGCCGCTGCCAGGGCAGCTGGCCAACGTGGGGCAGTGCCGCTCCCCCTCCGGGTTGAGCCAGGCACAGACACAGCAGCAGATGCAGACGCAGCCCCAGCCACCAACAGCGTCTCCTTCAGGTGAGTCCCCTTCGGGGGCAGCGGGCGGGGTGGGGGGCGGCGGGGGTATTGGGGTGGGGAGACCTCGGATGCTGTGGGGGCTGCAGGACTCCTGAGTGACTCTGAGCTGTGTTCTCTCCCACAGCAGCAGTGAATCAGACGCCCGCAGACGGCTCCGCACGGTGACTCACCAGCCCCACAGGCCGGGGCCCTCTGTGCCAGTCCACGACTCTGCTGAGGCCGAGAGACATGACAGGTGAGGACCCTTACGCCGTCCTCCCGCACCCCAATCCACCCAGCACTGTGAAGCCCTGCCCCTGACCCTGTGTCCCTCTCTCCTTCCAGGTCCACAGGCCCAGAGAGCTGCTGCTGAGTGCTCACCCCACGCAAGCTGCCGCATCTGAGAAGCCAGAGGGGTGCAGAGGGCTCCCCCGGCTGAGACAGGCTGAAGATGGGCCGGCGTGAGAGGCAGGGCCAGCGCTGCTGCCCTCCGGCTGCCAGCCTGCCTGCCAGCCTGCCTGCCTGCCATGGCCATGAGCTGGAGTGGAGGTCACTCCCATCTCTCCCAAGGCAGCCCCCGCAGCCAGGTGTGCATCTTATCCTGCCAGAGCCCTCCTGGTGACCCCACCCAACCACAGGGGTCCCAGAAATCTCTGCTCTGCTGCTTAAGCGGGAGCCCCAGCAGCCATGCAGCTGCCGGGCCTGGAACCTGCCTCGCCAGACCCCGCATCCCAATGCCAGAAGCTGCTCTCGCCTGCAGCTGGGTCCCCTTTCTGCCTGTCCACTGGAGGGCCCAGGTTTGGGGCACCATAACCGCAGGTGGCTGATGGTCGCTCTGCCCTGCACCTCCGACAGCCCCCCTCTCCCCACGCCAATTTTATTTTTGCACATGAAGCCATAACCCAGGTCTCCTACCTGGCTGTCCTCAGGGGGCCAAGGGGGGTCTCACAACTGTGGCCAGCGCCCCCCCTCAAACCAAGCACTGAATGTCAGCTCCCAGCTCCTACTCCTTCCCTGAAGACAGACTCTTTTATAAGGATTTGTTAATAAAACATGGAAACTTCTGGAAGCTTGTGTGCTGCTTTTTCTCTGCTGCTGGGCTGGTGGGGGCGGGGGGACCGGGAGCCTGCTCAGATCCTGGAAGCATCTGTCAAGGCACTGATTGGACTTTAGTCTGTAAGTGTCTGTGGACACGAGCCCCAGGAGCCAGAAGAGACCATAGAGGGAGCATTGTTCATGGCATGACTGTACCAGGGTCACCCCACTCAGGGGCTCGGTCTCAGCTGCACAGTGGGACGAGCCACTGCAGACTCACCGGGGGGTGGGCTCATGAAGAAGATAGGGCCAGTGTGGGGGTGGCTCACCTCACCTGCCTGCCGCCTCAGGAGGCCACCAAGTTACCAAGGGAAGAGAGAGGGAACCCCAGTGACAAGGGGGCCCAAAGGAGAGGCACAGTGGAGAGGCTGGTCACAGGTGTCCTGGCCACAGGGCAGAGGGGGTTGCAGGCCTCAAGAGGGACGCTCTCCATGGTCCTGAAGGCCAGGGCTGCCTCCCCTCTCTGGACAGGGCTCAGGGGACGGGTTGGCGTGCCCCTCCCCCCAGTCCTCCTAGCCCCAGAAGGGAGCTGCTGCCCTCCAGAGGTCACCTCACTCAACTGGCCCAGCCTGGAGGGGCCGGGTCGGGGGCAGAGGGCCACAGAAGAGACCCTGGCTCAGGGAGCCTCCCTGCAGGCAGCACGGTTGCCCGTCTCTTGGCTCTGCTTCCTGGGCAGCGCTGGGAGATCAGGGAGGCGGGTGGGCAGAGTGTCTGACCACGAACGCCTCGCTGCAGTTAGCTGACAGCCTGACAGGCTCTCTTATACTTCCAGCCAGGCACATGCAGCTGGGACTGTGCCCCAGGAAAGAGGCGTGAGAATGGAAGGGGGTGTCCAGGGGCATGCAGTCTATGCCGGGCCCCCCAGAAACCTAGGGTGCTCCAGCATCAGCGTGTCTGCCTCCATAGTTGGCATGAGGGACAGGCTGACAGATGCCCTCGCTGGCTCCATGCAGATGAGGTCTCAGGGAGGCTTAAAGGCCATCAGGAGAAGCGGGCTGACAAGACACACAGGTCCAACCCACAGGAGGTGCTGTTGGCTGGCCCCCTACTCTTCGGGGCCCTCTAAGGCCCAGCTCACTATGGTCACGGGATGAGGTCAGGCCATCAAAGTTGCCAGCCTGAAGGGCCACCTGGCGAGGGAGAGGCATGAGCAGCCAGCCCAGAAAAAGACACAGCTGCCTCACATCCACCAGGGAGGTGGCCCCTTCCAGTTCCACTGGAGCCCCCACCCACCCGCACCCAGTGGGAGTGGCCCTGTCCACCTGCAACCTGGGAGGCCCCACCCACCTGCTCCCACTGGGAGCCCCCGCCCACACGCCTGGGCCCCGCCCACCTAACCCTGGAGGCCCCACCCACCCACTCCCACTGGGGCAGGGGCAGGTGGGCTGGTAGTGTGCAGGTCTGTAGGAGGGGGTTTCAGCGACAGTCTGAGGAAGACCCACACCATGCTAATCGAGGGCACGTGCATCTCCTGGAGCTTGGCATCCTTCCTGTGCCCAGTGTCTGGGTCCACCTGCACCGGGCCACATCTGCTCACCCGTGCTGTCCACTCTGTGGGGGCCTGCCCACCCCACGGGCACTCTGTAGATGGAGGCCCAGGAGGGTGAAGACCGGGGCGTCCGCTGGAGCGGGGAGCGGGGTTGTGACCACAGTGAGCCATCAGCTGGGACGCCCCATGGTGTTTTCCGTTGGGGGGGTCTGGCCCTACATCTGATGTAGGGTGATCTGGCTCACATGGGTGGTTCCCCATGGCCTGACCTTACAGGTACCGTCACCTTTATTCAGGGAGGACCCTTCAGGCCAGATCATCCCTTGATCCTGGAGGCCCAGAGGCAGGGGTGCAGCTGTGAGGACCAGACGTTTTTCGGGGAGACAGGACGGGGGTAAAGAGCTTATCTGGTGTGTGGTCAACACCGATTCAACCCCTGGCACCCTGTAGTGTCCCTGAGCCTCTCCAGCAGTGCTCCCTGAGCACAGATCCACGAGTAAGCCCTGAGCACCCCAGGTGTGCCTCCTCCCCAAAGAAATGACTGTCCACTAAAGACAGCAGTTGCCTAAGAGCCCCTGAGTAGCCCCTGGCAGCGACAGCTTTGCAGGTATCTGGACCCCAACCTCAGAGCCGCCGGCCCCCCCACCTCCAGACAGCCTCCCCCCTTCTGTGCCATCCTCCTCCTGTCCATTCCGGCCTGGCGTCTTGAGTCCTGCCAGGAGACTTCCCAGCAGACGAGGCTATTTTTAGTTCCTGTTATCCCGTAATTATCTCGTCTCAGGTCTGTCCTGGGCTGGACACGTTTCTGCTGGGAAATATCAGTCTGTGTCTGCTCTGAGGACATGAGGTGTGGGGGACAGGGGACACGGCTCCAGGCTCAGCTGGGCAATTAGGCTGGCTGCAGGCTCTGAACTGCAGTCCCCTCCTGGCCATGGGGCTGGTCTGCAGGAGGACGCTCATCAGGGAGGGCTGGGCACTGCTGTCCTTGGACCCCTGGGCGCGGCAGGAGGTGGCCAGCGAGTCCCACCATCCCCGGGGCCCTGGTATGCTTGTCCTGCTCTAGGAAGGCCCTGGGAGAGGTGCCTGCCACTGTGTCTGTGCGTCTGTATCTCTGTCTGTATGTCTGTGCACCTGTGTGTCTGTGTGCCTGTGTCTGTGTCTGTGCGTCTGTCTGTATGTCTGTGTGTCTGTGAGTCTGTGTGTCTGTGTCTGTGTGTCTGTGTCTGTGTGTCCATGTGTGCGTGTCTGTGCATCTGTGTCTATGTGCCTATGCATCTGTTCACCTGCCTGTGCGTCTGTCTGTGTGTCTGTGTGTCCGTCTGAGTGCACATGGCAGGTAGAGGTGATTTGAAGGGGCCCCTGGGTTTTCTGATGGGGATCAGGAGGTAGAGACCCCTTCCTGCGCTCCTGCCATGCCCTGGGTGTCTCCACACGGGTCCCTCTATCCAGCAGCCCTTGTCCACCCCCATGCCCCCTTTGACCTTGAGACAGGTCAGGCTCACTTATCCATGCTCAATCTTCCTGGCCATGATGAGGCTGGAACTCAGTGACCATCTGCCCTTGTCCCCTATCCCCTCTCCACAGCACAGCCCTGGGACTGGTAACATGGCTGTCCTGGGGGAGGGTGACAGGGCTGTCCTGGGGGAGGGTGACAGGGCTGTCCTAAGGGATGGTGACAGGCTGTCCTGAGAGGTTGACAAGGCTGTCCTGGAAGCTGGTGACAGGCTGTCCTGGTGCTGGCTCCAGGTCAGAGCGACTGGCGGGCCTGCAACTGTGGCCATTTCGTGTCATAGTGCTGTGGCTCACACCTGCGTCCATCCTGTGTCCCGGTGCCATGTGTCTGGAATCCTTATAAGCCAGCAGAGGGCCAGCCCTGCTGACCACACGCTCCTCCTCAGCTGGGGCGGGATGGGGAGAAGGGCAAGGCAAACGTCCAACAGTGTCCCCTGCCAGACAGG